GCTGGGCAAGCATACAACAACGGGAACAAGCATTGGAACTCATTGGAGATTTGGCTGCCATTATCTCGGACAGAGTGCTGGTGCTGTCCTTAAGCAATTCGCTTGGATTTCATTTAATTGTTTATCTTGTGGCTATTGTTTGCTTTGCGGTGATTGAATCGCCTTAGTCAGATGTGCCAGTATTATGATTGATTTGTCAGCTTTTATATGGCCCAGGTAGATATGTCTATACATTTACACAATAATTTGTATGACTGACCTCGTCTGAGCTAACTCAAAACGTTGCGAGCTACCCTCTCCGTCTATTTCTGTGCAGTTAAAGCAATTACAAACTGGCTTACAGGCAAAAAGAAACCATGTCAGCCTCAAGCACAACAGCTCAAGGCTTGTCATGCAGGCGATGCGTGTTTATAAACTCCTAAAGTGGGGCCAATGCCATTGGATATGTGTCACGTTGGCTTCGAGTGGCGCCACATTCACAATGATGACGTTAGCGACGGTCCTTGGTCAATCGGTCAACTCATCAGCGCAGCGCACACGTTGCGTATGAGTAAAGCCAATTCCTCGCTTCACTTGCCACAAAATGGTGCAGCAAAAACAAGAGAGCGAGAGAAAGAGAGTAGGCACCTTTACATGACTTTTTTGCACTATAGCATTGTTTCTATGGGGCTTTCGTAAAGAATTCCGTACGCACACACACACATGCAAGCAAACACACCACACACACAAGGGAATGAGACCTCTTGCTGGTTGCGTTTCCAGGCAATTTTAGCCACTTAATCTTGCACACAGAGAAAAATTAGGTAACCTATATTGGCGATGAAAATAATAATATTTTAAGCATTTACCTAAAGAAGTACAATTATTTTCTATTTAATATTTTATCAGTTTTGTTTTTATTTTATTTTTGTAGAGAGAGATATACTATTTCTGTTAGAACTCTTTTAGCAGCACAAAAATATTGTTTGACAAACTTTACAAATAATTTACATAAGTATATTAAGGGGAATGTGATGTCATAAATAAAATCACATAAACATACAGAACACTTAACACTCTAACAGAATATTTTTCACTCAGCCACACTTTTTCTCACAGTGTTTTAGCCTTTAGCCCTTGCGTTGTCGCTGGCCATAAAACTATTGGTTACTGTTGACTTGCCACCTCGATTGTTTCTCCTGTTGTTCTTATAGTAGTATTTGTTGTTGTTATTGTTGGAGCTGTTGGCATTTGTGTTCTGTGTTCCACTTGCTCGTCGGTTGTTGCTGCATACATTTGGATTCACCTTGTTTTGGTGTCGATGTGTTTGTCTCTCAGCCGCCATAATACCAAACTATGCAACACATCTGGCAACAGTCTGAACTTGTCTCTGCTAAACGCAGACACACGCAGACACACGCACACACAAATACCAACAAACGAGAACTGCTCCACCCAGAGCACATCACTGCTAGGTATATCATTTTAGCCCCCTCTCCTGGCTGCTGTCAGACTCTAATTAGAGCGGCCATAAAATGCAAAATGCATTGAATGAGTGACAGGGAGGTGGACGGTAGGGTTAGTGCAGCTCTTTAGCAGAATTTAATTTTGTGGCTTGGAAATCAATTGAGTATGCATTGGGCCCCATTTGTAATTTTCATACCCAGTACTTATAGATGTTTGCTCTGATTAACATGAAATTACACTAAATTATTATGGAAAATGGAAGACAGAGAAAGAGGGGGATAGAGAGCGAGGGAGAAAGACCGAAAGGTTGATTGAGAGGTAGAGAAGGACCTGATGTTGGCCCTTGGCTGTGGACTGTCGGCAGATTGGACTGCCTTAAGGTAAAAATCTCTGGCACTGCCATGACAGCTGGCAGAGCCTCAGTTCGGATACACATCTACAAGTAAACACACACACACTCACACTCGTTGACATTGACATTTTGCCTAATGCCTTGGCAAGCTTAAATTGAGTCATACTCTGTGCACTGACAAGACGAGACAGACAGCTAGAGACGCAGTCACTCAATGAGTGGGGCCCTCCGTGGTGGAGAGGGGGGTAGTCAATCGGTATAAATTATTATGTCAGCTCATGACAGCACAAGCAACTGCTGCCCCAGCGCCGGGTACAGCCAGGCGGGCGACAAGGCTTAGCGGCAGGAATTAGTTTTGACACGCAGCAGGTTGGGCGAGGGTAGACATGGGCAGACACCTCTGGACACGAGAGCTCTGTGTATCGATCTATAATTAAGATAAGCTACAGTTGGAGTGTCTACCACGGCTTCATTATGGCCGGTGCTCGTATGCAAAGTGAGCTGGAGTACGGGTCGCACTTACGGTCAGATAGCAGCTGCGTTATTTGTTTATGAAATTGACCTGCGATTATCGCTGCATACAAAGTTGTGTGTGGCAACGGCCCATAAATTACATGCCACACGTTCAGGCGATTGAGCGTGTGGGCGTGTCAATACCGAAAGCAACTCCATGAAACTTTAGCACAACTAAACGCCAAAGCGTTTTGTAAAACTTGCTGGAATCGAAGTGAAGCCCACACGCGTAGCATGAACTGCAGATGACTTCGACTTTTGTATAACCACACACCGTACCCTCCGCTAACACATTTTACGCACAAGCTGGATGGATACAAAAAGAAGTTGGTAAAATGTATAAAACTTTCGTATTGACAATAAACGCCAGCAAGCTGCAACTGCAAACGGGGGCGGGGCGAGCGTTGCGAGCGGCAAATGCAAAGTGTTTGGCACTGCTTTCCAAATAGAGTCAGGCACATCCAGAGTACCATTCCCTGACTTCAGATAAAGCCCGCAGGTTGCAGACGGCCCCATGTCATGAGAGGGAAAGGCTGCAAAATAGTTTCTGTTTGGCACTTAGTTGCTTGAAAGTTGCCCAAAGCAACGAGACGGGGTGCTTGGTGTTGGGGCTAGTGCATATACCTTTATGGCTATGGCAGACAAAAGCACACGAAATTCAATGAGCTGCAAAAAGCAGCTAAAGTTGCTGCTGCCAGATTTACGCCAAGAAAAATGTCAGCCAGTCAGTAAGAGAGTCAGCCGGGCGGTCCGACCTGCAGCCTGCATAGTGCATAGGACACAGGACACAGGACACGTAACCGGGGCCTTAGAAAAGAAAGCTGTATATATGTAAACTCAACTGCAACTCGAGTTGACTGCGACTGTGGGCTGCGACTTTGGTGCTGCAGACAAATTGCACTCGTAAATGCTTTAAATTGTGCACTCTGCGGTCCAAATTGAAGTTGAGCAAGAAAAACGCGTCGCTTAAAGCGGGCGGCAAACAAAAGTTGCGAAAAACTACAAGAAGCGTGCAAAAAATGGCTGAGCGTGTTAAGAAAAATGTTTTCGTAAGCTGCGAACAAATGCGCGACAATATTTTTCAGCCACTTGCCACCCGCCATCCCCCAGGCCTCTGGCAGCCACTCACGAAGCAGCCAACGCTTGTAAGGAGGCGATGGCTACAGTAGCTACTGATAAATGAGCATTGGACGTTGATATACCCTGTAATCCCTTTTGTAGAATATATATGAATATGCGAATATGTGTTGGAAAAACCAATGAGCTAAGTTTTGTGAAGACACACAGCTTTCAATTAACCAATATAGAGATGTAAGCATATATCATTTATAATCTTCATCGTTGGAAAAATAAATAACAATAGAATATAGTAGAACTGTTAAACAGAAATATAATTTATATATTTGTGCAGCTGTACCTAGAGCGAGAAAAATATTATTGATTCTTACAGAATAGTAATCAATTTAATCAGTTTATCAGCATTATATACAGTTTTGACGTAGACAATTAGGGAATCCTTGTTCATAAATTTATCAGTTTTTTTTTTATCGCGGGACACCAAATAGAATGATTTTTAAAAGATTTATCGAAAATTTAACAGTATAGAATATAATAGAATGGGAAGAAGTAAAAAAATTATTTCATTGATTCTAAACTCTGATAGAGTGAAATATAATAGACAATAATAAATATTTTTGGTGTCTTTCTTTATGGGAAAACTTTAAAGGTATATAATCCAGATTCACAACAATCTGAGTTTTTGTACCCTAATCAATGTAAGCCCGAGACAATCTACCCTTTCGTTCTTTTGAAGTAGGCAGTATAATGATGCCGACTGCCGACTCAATGTTGCCTTTGGATGTTCGGTGTTGGATTCAACGTGAGCACCTTTGGCAGCGGTAAAAGAAAAGCGAGGCATTCGCTGCCTTTGTTGCAGAACAAAAAACGGAGAAATGCTACAAGAAACGCCAGTTGGGAGTAGTTGTATGTGTGTTTGTGAGTGGGCGTAGCTGGGGTTACCTCTTCGGAGGTTGGCTTGATAACCCAAGCCAAAACCGATTGCCACTTAAAACCGTATGGCTACACTCTTGAACGAGGCAACACTTGCGCGGGTGAGCATAAGTGTGTCTGTGTGTGTGTGTTGTGGGTGTGTTGTTCGCCAGGTGTCAAAATGTTAAGTTAATACAAAGACCTGACTTTGGTGTCGACTTTTAACTTTCAACAGATGCCATTGCAGTTGCGAAAGGTTTTGCGCACGTGTAGAATTTTTCAATTTGTAATGTAAGTTTTTGTAAGGACTACTGTGTGCCCTGCTCTAATGACCTGTTTCGCTTGATATTATTATGGGTCTGGCTGGCATTGCGGAACTGGAGCCCAGTTGCTTAAGTCCTTGGGCAACTTTTAGCCAACTGTCAGCTGAAAATTAGATTAAAGCAGCGCTGGGAGCTGTTGCCTGGCTGATAACGAAATTCAAATTCAATATTCGCTGTCGCAATCCTAATTGCAAGGTGTGCAAAGTGCCTGAAAATAAGCCGAGAAAAGCACTTTAATTAATTAAAAACTCCCTGAAAAGTTGTCAAAATAAACAGGCAGCGAACGCAACGAATCCTTTTTGGCTGTCACACCAAACGGGTCCGGGAAATCGAAACGGTAAACAAAGTCCGGAATTAGATGGCTCGGTATTATTGTCAAATATATTTCGTTGTTGTTGTTGAATTTTGTTTTGTATTTTTATTTTGTATACTCTGGCCCCGTGTAGCTTGTAAATGATTTATGCAGACTTGCCAGCCAGTCAGGCCCACTGGCGGGCGGCAGGCTGGACAAATGGCTGTGGGAATTGTCGCATACTCCCTTACACTTTAATGCTGCTGTGTTATGAATAATAACATGGACTGCTTTTTGTTGTTGCTTCTTAGTTGTTGTTGTTGTAGTGCGTTTGCCCTGCTCTTTCACATTTCGCGTCAGTGCGCAGAGCTTTGAATATTTTACGCAGGCATAAATAATTTACAACAATGAACGAAACACACGTTAAAAAACAAAAAGGAGAAAAGAGGAAAAGGATAAAGCAGCAGCATCGTATAAAAACGGAAGAAAAGTGAGAGCAAGAATGCAAAAGATAAGAATAAAAATTTATATTTTCTAAGCACAGGACCAGGGGCAAGGCGTGCTGCATGCCACAGGGTCGCCTGGTCACAAAATGCTGTTCGCTTCTTTGCCAACACTTGACATATGTGCCGGCTTTTGACCTCTTTCTGGAAGTGCGGGAGTGCCTGACACGCCTATGATATGTGCGGCTCGTAAATGAGACGGTATGGGGCGAGAGGGCGTGACCAAAAACAAAAACATTTGGCAGACGAGTGAGAAAATGTAAATGCTCAAATGTTGTCTTTGCATCTGAATACGAGCATTTTCTACGGATTCGTTTGTGTTTGCAGTGAGTGATGGCAGCTCAAAGAAATGTCAACACTCAAAGCCTACAAGCCTACAAGCCTACAAGCACACACGCTCACTCGCATAGTCTAAGAATTTCACTTTGACTTAACAAATAGAAAATCATTTATTCTGCATGCGCAGCTCCGTCCCTGACAGCTGCCTCGGCGGAAAATTGTTTCCCCGCTAACGCGTTTCGATTTCGGCAGACTCTCTGAATGGGGTCTCTGTGATTTCCGACTGTCCCCGCATTCTCAGCCATCAAACTGGGAGATTTATGCGCATTTTGCATATTTTCTTTGTGTGGCTTTCAAAGCCAGCGAAAATGGCCCATCAAGTCAAGTCGAGACGAACTCCAGGGAGACTGTGAAAAACTCGCTCAATTTTCATTGCGCGACTTTTATGACTTTGTCTGCTGCTGTCTTTGGCCTTTATCGAATGCAAATTGTTTTATAATAATGTAATCAAATCATTGTGAACTCTGTTTATTGATGTGTTTATTTTGTTTTGCTTTCGATAATTGCCGCAAACAACATCAGACTGTTGTTGCCTGGTTATTTTTAATATATTCCCCTCATTGTGTTCACCTTCATGGAATCTGTTTACAAGAGTTCTATAGAAAAAATCGAATTACTCATTTTCTTAAGCTTTATATAAGTTTTAGCTGACATAGTTTCGATGATTAATGAATTTATTAGATGATAGTTTTCAGAATGTCATGGAACTTTTTGAAGGCATTCTTATGGGTCTTACTAGGAGTTTGTTAAACGTAGTCAATGAAAAACGGTACGATTACTCAGTTGGTTGCCAGTCAAAGAAATCAAGACGTTGCATTGCCGAGTTTTAATCGAGTAAATTGTAAATAATAAAAGGTACAAGTGGTGCAATATCACAGACAAGAGACTTCAGATTTCATAGTTTGTTTTAGGGTCAATTCGATAGAATAATAAAATCGTACGATATCTAATTCTCAGAATTCTCAGTAACATGTATTGAAACCAATAAAATTAGGGAGCACAATAACAGGGACAATCATAACAAGAACAGCTTCCACAGTCGTGACGACAATAACAATATTGACATTTTCACTTAATTGACCATAATCCACAGCACAACAACCCTCGTCCTCGTCTTACCCCGGCTTCCACAGAAAAAAACAGATTTGTGCCAAGTGCGATGGCAACTCCAACACTTGATTCAAGGGATCCCACATTAAAAATGCCCATGGCGACAATTTTACGTTGTTGTTGCTGTATTTGTCGATGGATGGAGTCGAAGGTTGTTGAGCTACTGTTGGCATTTTATGTAAGACTATTTAAATTTAAGTGCCAGCACACAACAGCCAGTACGAGATGATGGCCTATAAATTAAATCAAATGCAACAATTTGGTCACGAACTTTCAACCGGTCAGCAACCGCTTAACTATGGAACTATGGAGAAATATTAATTGCGTTTTCCTGTGCTGAACTTGAACCAGAATATAAGTTTCAAATTGAAACTGTGTGTGTGTTTGTGTGTGTGAAACAAATGCCTTAAATCCAACCGGCTTTGGTATGCTAATGAAGTACTCGCCAATGTGGCCAATTGTCAGCGGCCGGGCAAACATGAGGCGGAGCTAGCTAGTTGCCAGTTTTGTTGCATATTTATGGACCGGGCGCAATGTCAACAGCAGCCAGCAGCTGCGAGCAGCCAACGGCGAGCAGCCAGCAGGCAGTAGGCAGCAGGCAACAGCGAAAAGGACGCACACGAACAACCAAATCCACTTCATGACCGCAAATTAGTTTTTAACCCACAAAATAATCCCGAATGACATGAGATGACTCCACCGCTCACCGCCCAAACAAAAAAAGCAAGCGGAATACTATAGCGTACATTTCACAGTTACCAGTTACCAGCTACTGGTGCCCCTGCTCCTCCCTCTCCACCACAACCACCTCCTCAACGTCCATGTTCTTGTCCATGTCTACTAGCCGCAGTCGCTTGGCGGAAGTTGTAAAGCTGCCATTTCTTGGCCATGCTTTTGTTGCTGTTGTTGTTGCTGTTCTGTTGTTGTTGTCGTTGTTGCTGATGTTGCTGTTGCTGTTGCTGTTGCCATTGCCAGCGGTTGGCAGACCCAACTCCGTGCCGGACTCTTTTAGCTTACGGGCTATGTGAAGCGCCAACAATTCGCGAGCTCGTAATGCGGTCGTTTTACAGCATTGTTGTAATTCGTTGTTGTTGCTGCTGCTGCCGTTGTTATTGGCCCCGTTGAGTGTTATTGTTGTTGTCGTTGCTGTTGATGTTGTTGTTGTTGAGAAGCGCATTTGTTGTATTAACTTTTTCCAAGTGACGTGAATGGCACCGGCCAGTGCACGGCAAGGCACAAGGCTGTAACACAAGCCCACTGCGCCCGCCCACCTCGTCCCCAATGGTGGCCATGCGGCCATAATTTATTAAAGCCTGCACCAGAGTGCTCTCCAGTCGAGCGGCCGCCCATGGCACACAATTGAAATTTAAGCAGCAGCAGGAGCTAAGTTGCAGAAAATGTGAAACATTGGCGCTGCCTTTCAGCTCCTCCAGTTCGATCGAGTAACGGGAGCAGGCAAAATGGTAATCGAAATATGCGCCTTGCGCTCTGCACCAAGGCAAAGAAGCGCAGCAAAGCGGCCACAGACCCAGGCCGAGGCACAGCCGGCAGTGAATGTCTTGCGTTTGCCATCATTTTCTTTTGTTTCGCTTGGCTCTCCACTCTCTCTTTCTCTCTCTCGCGGTCTTTTTTGCAGTGAAAAGTTTGGAAAAGTTTTTGGCTGGGAAAATAATTCATGAAACATGGCGGCAACATGCGAACGCGAAACGCGAATGTGAAACGCGAAAAACGAAATACGAACTCGAAATTTTTGTGCCCAATCCGAATCTGATTGTGACAGAAACGAATTGTTCTGGTTGCTGGTCGCTGGTCCTCAGGTCGCTGCTTTGGAAGCGGAGTGGAGGAGAGGGCCTTGTATATTTATGTGCCTATTTCTTCTTCTTTTTTTCTCTATGTAGCCGGCAGCGAGTGTCTCGTCGCCGCCCCCACAGACGGCCCCGCGCAGTTGGCATGCAAATTTATGGTGTGTCCCGAAACAATTGTTATTGTGTGTTTTCAACTTTTGCTTGATTTGTGTTTTTAAGTGATTTCGAATGGGTCGCATGGGGCTCGGTAATCGGGCCGTCGGCGACTATTTGTGTGTTTGCTGGTCAGCTGGCGTTGATAATTTCTAGGCTGTCAACGGGCCAGGCTGGGGCCAGGCTGGGGCCGGGCAGGACAGATGCACGACTATGCAGAACTACTTACTAAGCGACCAATAACCATAAAACACTTGGCATACCACACCGAGGCGAGAGGCCACCCGCACACGTGGCAACTGGGCAACTTTGCCCCCGAGCTGCAAGTTGCAAGTTGCAAGTTGCCAGTTGCTAGTTGCAGCAATTTTCGTTCGGCATTTTATTTATTTGTATTTCCGCAAACAATTCGAGTGCCGCGACTGCCACAAAACTTTTGACTGTGCGGCATTTGCCACTGTTGCTGCTACTGCAAGTGCAACTGCCACTGCTACAGTTAGCAGCCATTGTTGTTACAGTTACCGCTGGCAGTAGGCCACTTCCTGCAAATAGGGTAACTTCTGTTGCCGTTGCATGCAATTCCTGAATTTTTGAAGGCGTTTCTCTTGCTTGCCTCCTGCCTCCGTCCTCCTCCAACGCCAACCACTATTTCTGTTGCCCAACTGCTGGAGCTGCTTGCAATATGCAAACGGTCATTTCGTTAATGAGCGCCCGGTAGCAGCAGGGGCAGCAGGAGTAGCTACAACTTTAACTGAGCATCCGCCGGATGGGTACTGGCGAGCGAAGGGCTGCTGGTCACTGCTCGCACATCCTATGGAGATGGACAGCAGCCAAGCGACCGAAGCACCAACTGTGCCCAACCCGACTTTTTATTCAACTGTCTGACTCTCTGCCTGCCTGCCAGGCTGCCTGGCTGCCAGGCTACGAGCCTGTCTGTTTGGCTGAATGACTTGGTTTATTTCTACGTAATGAAATGAAATTGAAATGAATGTTTTATAAACCGTCGCCGGCTAGAGAGAAAGAGACTCTATATTATTCCCGCTCTTACAAGCAGGCAAGAGTCATAAAATTATTATAATCTACATGGTGGTAGCAGCAACCGCATGTTGCCACTCACTTGCAGCACTAGATTACGGCAGATGCAACAAATATCAACTTTAAAGCCAACCAAATTAAATAAATATTTACGGGTGCTGGCAATTTAATAGGCGCAATGCATTAGCCGACAAAGTTAACAATCAATACACAAACAATTTGTATTTGTAGCTGAAATAGGTATGTTATGTATATATGTAAATAATGTTTGTTTCGATGTTGGTTCAGGCTATCTAATATTTGAATATAACCCTCACAGGAACTAAACACAACGCGTTCATTTCCGTGTTGACAGTGACGGCAGGTTTGAGTTTTTAAAGTGTTATAATGTAGCCGGGTCCTTCAGATGATTACACAACACTGACACTATCACAGGGCAATATTTTACTATACTAATCAGAAACAGAGTCGCAAATCGGACAAGTTGCACATAAATTTTAGGTAGTCTGAACGGGCATTTGGTAGTCAAAGTCAGGGCCTGGCAATAAGTGGGAACGCCTCTTATGTGGGAGTATGTATGCTGACGTTGTTTGTCTGCTCTGAATTTTAATTAAATTTCGCTTAATGTTGTTGGCGCATTTACTTCGGCTGCCGCCGTCGTTATGTGGCATGTACCCATTAAACATGCTGCGGATTGTCGTCGCGGTTCTCGTAAGCCCAGAATTTATGAAATTCAATTAATATGGACACCACAGTCTCAGCCTGGCCGCTGCACAGAAAGGGCATGCGTTTAACGAAACGGGTTAAAAAAATAAAAGCAAGATAATACTCAGCCTACCAGTTGTTCAGATCCTGCAGTGTTATCTTGCACGGATCCTTAGGCTTAACCATGTCGAATATCTCATTGTTAAAGTCCTCAAACCTGATTGGCTCACCATTTAGCACCACCAACTGCTCCTCTATACCCTTGAAGAAGTAGTGCAGTGTCTGCATCGACAGGTAGCCAGTGTGCTGCACGTCCAGCATACGGAAGAGATAGTGCATTGCCGATGAAGTCTGTGTCGGCAGAGAACGTGGTAGTCTATTAGCGAGAAACTTATCCACGATGGGACACAACTTGGGGAATCAGTGTAAATAAGCTTCTAAGATTGAAAGCAAATAAAAATTTTCTTAGACCGCTTGCCAAACAAATGGTGCTCAGAGTAAAGCTTGGAATGAAGCTGAACATACATTTAAAAGCATTTAGTGTGCTTAAACTCACACCTGTCGATTCTCCAGGGCCAAAACGAAGTCCAAAAATGTTTTATAGTCCATTTCGCCATCGTAAGTATGGCACTCCTCAAATACGCGATCCAGAAATATTGAAGTGAGCGTACCCGATCCATATCCAGCCAGTTCCTGTTTACTTAGTAAGCCGTTATGATCCAAGTCCAGGTTCAGATAGCTACCATAGACCGCCAGCACGGCGGGCATGGAAAAGCAGTTAGGCTGTGTGGGCTTAGACGATTCCGTTGGGTTTGGCTCGTCGCGCAGTTCCATTAGCTGGTTGATGAGACCCGAAGCGAGCATATCGGTAATGCGTATACGACCCGTGCGCAAATGATCGAGAAAAAAGTAAAACCTCTTAACCACGGTGCACACGTAAAACTTCTCAAAAGCGGGCTGCATTTTGTCACGTATCTGCTTCAGCGTTGGTATTAAATCCAGAATGTAGTTCTCCATGTCGAACTCACGCAAATAGCCCTGGCCGACCTCATCGTAAAAGGAGAGTCCGATGCGACACTGGGTTAGAAACACCTTACGTATGGTAAAATTAAAAATGGAGATAATCTCCACGCTGCCTAGATAAGGCGAATCACTGAGCAGCTGGGCAAAGAGCCGGGCCGTGAGATACTTGCGGCACTTCTTGCCAATCGCAAACTGCAACTTGCAGTAGTCATCGTAGCTGATCAGCTGCTGCTTCTTGGCGGTCGTCTCGGTGACATGCTGCTCCAACTTGCTCCACAGCTCGTTCAGCTCGTCGTTGTCCAGCAGCTCCTCGGATTCCTGCTGCAGGAACAGTGAGTGCGCCTCCCTGCGCAACAGATATCGCAACTTATCATCCGGCGGCGGTGGCACATAAAAAAATTGGGGCACATGTTTATATGATGGATGCTTAACCTGGCTGCGTGGCCTAAGCGGCGCATTCTCATCGAAGTTGGCCAGCTCCTCGGCGCCTATCTCACGTGTGGAGACCTGAAGACTTGCGAACTCCTTCACAAGCTCTGGATCCAATTCCATTATAGCGTTTGTGTCCCTTGTAGAAATATTGTTAAACTAATTTGGTTTTACAGAGTGACATTTGAAACATGTATACAAATGAATAAATAAATTTAGTAACACTTCAATGGTATTTTGTCAGCACATAAAAATTGAATGAATATTTGCAATAAAATCTATAATTTTTGCTCAATTTCTTTATCATGTTCAATTTCATTTTCAGGTTCGACCATTAAGGGCGCCATCGCGATATTGAATTGCATTTTGGCGCGTCAATTATGCTTTGAGGATCCCTCATGTTCGGCAATTTTGGAAATTATTCCCCGCGTCTGCGGACCCATACCAGGTAAGCTCGAGAGCTAAGCAAATTAATGGCTAAATCCTTGTTTTTTTTCGATAGCCAACTTTTTAGCAATAGTTGTATTGGTCTGCAGGCCAAATACCTGCGCATAAATTGTGGTTTTTCAGGTGGAGCGTTTTGGAGGGGCAACCCTCGAGCATTTTGGCTTCGTTGCGGGTATGGGGCCATTTGAGGATTAATTTTATTTAGTTGCTTTTCGTGGTTGTTGCTTCTCCTCCTGCCCCCACTCAGACCGTCTGCTGTGCCGACAACTGTGTAATTATTTTAGCAATTTTTGTGTGCGCCCGCGTGCAATAAAACAGTAAATAACGGTCATATGCTTAAAGCGCAACATAACAGCGACAGCAGCAACAACAGCAACGAGTGCCACGAATTACCATTTGAATATTCAAATGCCCCTGAGAACTGACCCACTCGCCAGTCGCCCAGCCAACTGCTATTGTGGTTGCTGCTCAGCGGGTGAATGTGCGTGCCACACACACACACACATTTAGGTAGACCAAAGTGGGAGGTGCAAAAAGCAAACAAACGGCCAGCAGATGCCCAGCGCCAGCTTGCCCCAAACTCCTGGAATGCCTGCTCCATTGTTGTCGCGCACAAAGGCGAATGAACGAGCGTGCCGAAGAAAAAGTTAATTTATAAATTATTCAGTAATTTGTTTGAGAATTTGCTTTCGTCGCCATCCCCTACACCACTACACACATACACACATACAAGAACAAAGCTCGGAGCTGCAGGTATACATTTCTTATGTATGTGGGTTTCGCTTTGATCCGCCCCCACAGCCCCCACTCCAAAGCCAAACGCCGAGCCATTTAAAAGTGTATTTAAGTTCAGTTTGCCGTGCACTACTCCAACTCGAACATCATGAGGCCAGGCCTGTCCAAAGGTCACATCGCTTTTGGGGTTAGGGGGCGTGTTCTGGGGCTAGAGGGGCGGAGTTTTTAGCTGGCTTGTGAGCCCGTGCATAAGACTCTTCTTTTCTTAAATTTAATTATTAATGTTCCAGTCAGCCAATGTCTAGTGGTGTTTCGCCAGCTTTTCCTACACGTCTGTCTTTTATTTAAGTGGCTTTTCCATTCGGTTGTATGTGTGTGTGCGTGTTTGTGTGTGGGAATTTCTTTGTGCTGTCATGTGTAAAAAATTCGCATTTAAAACGTGGCATTAACGGATTTACTAGAACTTTTTAGTTTGTTTCAAGTTTGCCTCAATTCCTTCGCAGCTTTGCACTTCCAGCTAAAGCACAAATGCGGCCGAGCATCAGATTAGTTGTGCCTAGTTCTGCGGCTTGGACCACTCAACGCTCAGGATCAAGTGATCGTAACCATGACCGTTGAGTATTTCGATTGCCTCGGCTGCGTCCTTGCGATATTTGAAGTGGACATAGGCGAATCCTTTGCACAAGCCAGAGTTCTTCTCACGCGCCAGATACATCTTGGTGTATGGGCCAATCTTTTTGACCAACTCCTCGAGATCATCCTCTGTCATCGACTCGGATAGATTAGAAATGCGCACTGCTGATGAATCGTCGCGCTCGCGTCCTTTAGCACCCTCCTTCAGGAATGGTGGCACATACTTGCCCGTCTTATTGGTGTCGCCCACAGCAGCAGTGGCCGCCGCAATTGCCTTGCTCTCCATGTCCATGGAGGTACCCTTGTAAGGACATTTAACTGACCAATGCTCTCCATTGCATATGCGGCACTTGGCCATAGGCTTGCCGGCATCCAGTGGATCTTGTGTGTGCTCAAAGTCCTTGGAGCCCATGTAGTTCATAAGTATCTCATCGGCAACCTTTGTGGTATACGAATTGGGCCCCGGGTTGTCTAGTTTCGAGTCTCCAAACTTAACCCAATTGCGGCGCTTGGCGACTGCCCTCGAGACGATCTTCTTTTCGATCTTGAAGCTGCGCACCACTTTGATCTTCTTGCCCTCATCGTTGAACTTGTACTCGGTAACGTGCTTGTAGTCACCATCCACATACTCCTTGGATGGCGGCAGTCCGTCCACATAGTCTGCTTCCACCTCATCGGCCCATGATGTGATTGCGGCTTTCATTTTGCTATTCTGTTGTAGCAATAAATTCATAAATGCGTTAACTTTTAGAGTTTTACATATAACTTACCTACAAATTTTTTGAAGTTTCTGAAATTATCTCAAATAAATCTAAGTTCTGAACTGTTTCAGCACAGTTCAATGAGTGAAGCATGAAAACTCAGCTTGGGGTCATAGCATATATTTCCACTGCTACTTCGACGGGGATTCAAGATAGAGATTTGCTGTTGAATATGTAGAAACTACTAAGAATCTTCCACTCAGTGCAAATGACTACGCAATACTCTGTTCATAGTAATTTGTAGAGGCAAGAAAGGGCTTAGCGACAATACTTTTGGATTGATCTTCAGTAACCCTTGTATATTATGGTAATCCCACTCCTGTGGACTGCTCTATAATATTAGGAAATGCAGGGAACGTTGATGCTTGCGTTGATATCTAACCATTTTGAACTACGGCATTCTTTCCACAACAAAATTCAAAGTACTTTTTTTTTCAAGTGTAAGCCGCTCGCAACATTGATAAGAACATACGATTCGGTGGGCACGCGCTAATCTGTTGCGCTGTCAGTTGATCAACTCACTCCGCTGCGGATCAGTCAAGTGTCTCTGAGCACAAGTATTTGGATGTTGCAGTTAAAGCATTCCAGGACAGGCAAAAGCCTAGAGATTGATGAGTTTTGGCTACGGGATCACTGTCGCTGCGGGGAGTGTCTCAACACAGAGACAAATCAGCGACGTTATGATCTTCTGGATTTGCCTGTAGATGTGCACGTGCTAAAGCACAACTGGCAGACGACGGAGCAGTTCGTGGTGGAATGTAAGTATTTGTGGAGCCAGTCAGATGCCCTGCTTATGCTTGTCTACACACCAACAAGGGAGCGATGGGCATCGTTCGACTTACGACTGGGCATTCATCTATGACTCGCAGGTTGAGCAGCTGATAAGCCGGCGAACAAAGTCCACGGCGCTGACGCCCTGGAACCGCTGCATTGTGCTACAGAACGAGCGGCATTTGCGCTTCGCACTGCCGGCGCTGGTGGCCAGCGATGAGCAGGTCAAGCAGCTGATAGCCGCGCTGGTGCGCTATGGCATCGTCTTTATAGATGACGTGGCGGCCACGCCCACAATGACTGAGCTGGCGCTCCGCCGTTGCTTTCCGCTGATGAAGACCTTCTTTGGCGAGATGTGGACATTCAGCGATAAGCGGGACCATGCGGACACGGCATACACACAACTCTATTTGGGCTCACACACGGACAACACATACTTTTGCGATGCAGCTGGGCTGCAGGCGCTGCACTGCATCGAGCATGCCGCTGACGGCACAGGCGGCGAGAACTTCTTTGTTGATGGGCTGCACGTGGTGCACGAGCTGCGTCGCCGCTTTCCCGAAGCCTACGAACTGCTGTGTCGCGTGCCAGTGCCAGCTGAATACATCGAGCAGGGCGAACATCATTGCCACACGGCGCCCATCATACGCATCGATCCGCTTACCGGCGCGCTGCTCCAGCTACGCCTTAATGTATACGATCGCGCTGTCTTCAACACGCTGCCCCAACGTGAGATGGCCAACTTCTATGCCAGCCTGCGCCAGCTGCTGCAGCTGGTGCGCGACGAGGAGCAACAGTGGCAGCTCAAGCTGCTGCCTGGCAGCATTGTCATCTTTGACAATTGGCGCGTGCTCCATGGCCGCCACACCTACACGGGTCGTCGCACAATGAGCGGCGCCTATGTGCAACGCACCGACTTCCAGAGCAAGGCGCGCACACTTGGCATCATCGAGTAGCTGCAGTCGTGATCCCAAATGTCAAATGCCAATAGCCAATTGCAATTCAGTCGTGAATACATGATAATAAAAAATTACGATTGCAATCGCTGTACAATGTCTAATTCTTAGTCGAAACAAGAAGCAAACAAATATCATTTGGCATTTGTTTTTATGGCAAATGTCTCATACGAGCTTTTGCTCTCTGGACACGTGTGTGTGTGTGTGTGTGTGTGTGTGTGTGTGTGTGTGTGTGTGTTTGGAGCCAACAATATGGCGTTTGGCGTCAGCAAAACAAACGTAAAACGCACTTTCAACTTTTTCATTTAAAAACTGAAATTACTTTTTTGGTTGTTGCTGGGCAGGATTTTGTTTGGAAGGTGGGGTAGGGGGAGTTTAATGGCTGTCGTATTGTCCTTTAAATGTCCTCAAAATATGTACATATATTGCACACGTGAAAGCAGACTGAAAACACTTTAAGCCAACACGCTCCAAGCCGGCCTGAATATTTATGATAATTGCATTTTATGCAGCGTTTCTGTTGCCTTTTCTCTTACCGCTTTTATGCGGCGACATGACCGCATTGAAGCCTTTAAAAGCAGGCTCTCACTATCGTTGTCTCCTCCCTGTCGCTCGCTCATTTCTCTATCTCTCTGCCGGCAATAAATATTTTGACAAGCAACGGCGCGTTGCGGTGCTGGTCCTGCTTCCAGCTGCTGCATTCGTTGCATACTTTTTGACGTTTTTCTCATGTGGCACGGCTCGAGCTGCAGCTGCTTGCGTGTGTGGGTGTGCATATGTGTGGGTTGTGTTCGGATTTTTGCGTTCACTTTGTGCAGTCGCCGATAGTTCAATGAAATCAGCAAGCAGCCAGCTGCACACAAGGCAAACAACCACCCACGCCCACACCCACAGACACGATATACACTCGCTTTTACTCAAGGCACGCCTGTTTAATATGACAAAAGGACATGGATTGTATGGCGTCTCTTATGCCGCTCAAACAATATTGTAAAAAATGTTACACACAAAGGCGGCGCCAACGCAAAGACAAAAGTTTACTTAATTTAATTAATTGCATGCTGAAGCTGTCCAAATAAATGCTGTCATATTTTATACAAAGCGGAGTTCTCATTGGGGGCCGCATAACGTGATCAGATTCGTTTGATGGCAAACTAAATAAATGCCACATAAATTTCATCTAGTGCACAAATTTATGGCAATAACAGCCAGCAATAAAATGCCGAAAAAAGTATATTTTGTGTATATATAGCGAAAGCAAACAAACAACAAGCTAAAATCAAATAAAATCGAGCCAAAAGGTCGACCCACACACACACACACACGCGCATATTCGCTTTTTCGCCATATTGGCAACAACAAAGAAATCATTGAACCAATTCAGCGACCAACTCAACAACCGGAAACGCGTTTCGTATAAAAACGAATTGAGGACTTAGCGTTAACGGTAAAAGGGCGAAAAAAAAATAATGCGAGGTTAACAGTTACTGCAAATGGCGTCAGTTGATGATGGCGTCGAGGCATAAAAACCACTTGCCTGCTTTTATAGTCCCTCACACACATGCACGGAATCAAAGGTGGCCACAAAAAACAAAAAACAAACAAGAGCTTAAAAACTGCAGTTCGTTTAGTCAAGTCGGAAAATATGCCCCCCTCACTTGCTGTTCAAGCTACGAATGGCTTCTAATTGAGGCTGTAGCACACACTGCAGTGTGTTGGCCAACAACAACAATTGCGGTGTTTCAAGTGTTGGCCATGTCATAAATATGATGAATGCCTGCGAAAAATGTCACTTGTTGCGTAGTTCGTTGAGAGCAGCCCGGCCCTTACAAATTGCCACTGGGCATGGGGCCAGGCAGGCAACTTTATGTTCGAGTAGCAAATAATCATGTCCGGGTTCGGGAGTGGCCAACGGGTCGTATGAGTGACATGAGCAATGGGCCGTCCAGCTCATATGTTGACCATTGGCCCATTGTCCGGACGTTGCGGCAGTTGGTTTGCTTTGCTTTTTGGCGATTTAACGGCTTATGGGCAGCCACAGTCGTGTCGATGTATGTGAGTGTGTGTGTGCTGTGTGTGTGTCTGAAGTGTAGTCGTAGTCGAGTTTATTAGTAGGGCTTATGTTTTATGGTCAAAGGGACAATGGATGGCCAACAGATGTTTGTTGGCCTTTTGTTTCTTTCGACACCCACACCGCCCCACTCATGCAATGAGTGCGAATGAGTGAGTGTGTGTGAGTGAGTGCATAGCAGTAGTTGTCATATGCTCGAATAAGCTGTCATATATGAAACATAATTTATTATGTTATAAAATATTATCGGATCTCTCTTACAACGGGCAAACGCTGGCTGCTCGCTTCATTGGCCGCTTAAATCGACTATTTTGCTGGGGACTCAATTATTCATATTGTTGCTGCCACAGTTCTTGTTGTTGTAGTTGTTGTTGTTTATTGTTGTTATTGTCGTTGGGTATTATGACATGTGTTTGGTTTGTAGTTGTCCGTTTGGGCCGCCGCTTGTTTGCTGGCTTGCCTGCCATTTATAACAACTGTCAACTGGCTACAACTTGGATAATCGATGTGAGCAGCGATTCCAAATTGGACAGGACAATACGGACATGGACACGTCCAGCGAAATGTCAAAGCTTAAGCGCTGCTGCCATTTATAGATCATTAAACATAACTGTCTCTCTTACTCGCACTGCTACGCTTGACTGTTATTTAACTAGCTTGTTTCTTTTATTGTCCTTGCAGTGTCCTGCAGCACGGTGACGGTAACTAAATGCCAAGCGGCACTTCGCACGTTGCAGGCGTTTCAATTCTTTCGTCCTACCTGCCTGTGCAAGGAGCCCGGCATGGATCCCGATTGCAATCATTTTCGGGATTTTCTGTTCGATCATCCTTGCGGATTTGTGCTCAAAAAAGGTAAGTGCCACCAGACAGGGATGCGTTGTGGCTTTCCACCAGACCATTAGCACTTGCAAAAGGCTACACTTGAAACTTTATCCGTATTAAATTGATTTACCCCGACTAACACAAATTTCCGTTTCGCTGCTTTCGTTAATCCTTGCCACAGCCGAAAAGGATCCCTATCCGATTGATGCTCTGCCCACGTGCAATCATGCGCTGTCCGTGTGCCAGCAGGAACGCAAATGCCTAAAGCTCTTTGAGGATTTCAAGACGCACTGCAAAGTGCGCGACAATAAGTGCAAAATGGAAAACAGGTGAGTGGATAGCACTAATGAAAATGGGAATCTCTGTTAAGTAGAGATAAGCAGGTTAATAAGAAATACCTAAAAGAGAGAATGAAACCGAAAGAGAGGAGAGCCGGACTCCAACCAATACAGCAATACTGTAGTCTATACAGCATCGTCCACCGTATCAATTATAATTATTGATTATTCAGTTTGCATACTAAGCAATAGCGTCGCCCCATATTCGCTATACAGCAGCTGCTTTGCCGCTTCCATTCGTCGAGCTAGCAAATTGGTGGAAATTGGGAAGCGAATGCTAATTAGAACAACAGCGCAAAAAGTGCACCATCGCAGTCTGTAAACTTGGTGAAGAAAAAAAAAATCATTCAATTAAATTGTTTGGTTTAATGAGAAAATTGATTTTGGTGCTGTTGATGCCACTCGACTTAAGTATTCTAGCTTGTTGCCACAAAACTTTGCAACGGCAACAGCAGAAGCAACATTTAATTTCGATATTCGACATACGTATACAGAGAGCGAGAGAGAAAGAGAGAGCGAAAGAGAAGAAGAGAAAGCCTTGGCGCCCAACTTTAAGTAACAGCAGCGAAATGAAATTTCCTGCTGGCTGAGTTCTTGCTGCTTCCTGCAGCCTTCACATATCCTTGCTGACGCAACTTCCTTATGGCGCCTGGCTCAATACCCTCGAATACAAACGTTCTGAATGTTTTAATAACTCGAAATGACTTTTTGCGGCGGTCTCGACGCGGTCTTTGGCCTCGCTGTAAGTTTTACTGCCGCCGTCTAAACTTTCAACACGCACAGCCCCCAATCAACCCCCCGTCAACCGCCAACTGCTGCCAACCATCCAATAAAATATTAATTGAACTGCTGTATGTATGCATTTTTGATGCAATTGCCAATTTTAAAGTTTGCTGCGCCGAGCGGAAGTCGAGTCTTTGGTCGAGCTTAGGGGTTTATTTCGCAAAGTTCTCTTTTTCCAGAGGGTCGGCGGTAGGGCATAATATGAATTCAATTAGCTTAGCTGTGGTGGTTGTGGGTTGCGCTAGCCGCTGCTGCTGCTGCTGCTCTTGTTGCTGCTGCTACTGCAGCGGTTATTAACCAAACAACTTTACTAAATGCAAAACTTTTCATTTTAGGGATGCCTGTCATGATGCCTGGACTAATCTACGCCTATCGCCCATGTTCGGCTGTATCTGCCCAAATAATCATATGAAAAAGCGCTGTGATCGTATTTTTAATATTGTTAATCACAATCCGTGTGTGGGTAAGTTTTCAGGCAACAGCTGATACTAAAACAACAACAACAACAACAAGTACAACAACAGCTACAACAATAACACAAAATCCTCAAAAACGCGTTAAGTGCTGAAAAATTCGTTGAAATGCGAAGGAAAACGTTTTACTTTAATCTCTTCAAACATTACATCTTTCTTATATACATATATGGTTAAAAAAAAAACAAGAAAAAATTAAAATCATAATGAGTACCTATCTAATGATATGTTTTAAGTTTTTCAACACAAATGAATTTCTCTTAAGTTCCGTCAACTTTTTATTTAAATTTAGATTTCCATTTCGTACTATTATTGTTTACTTTTTTGGTACTTTGTGAACCGCTAAAAACTGAAACTAGCCTAATATTTTAAGTAATTTAAAAACCAATGAAAAAATTACCTGAAACTAAAATCGCACGCTTTTGCATCAAACCAAAACAATAAAAAAATTATAAATAAATTAGTAAAAACAAAAATGATACCCACATTTGCGTGATATGCGATCAGTAAAAAACTTTTTAGCAATATGCCTATATCAGTACAAAAATATATGGTTATACTATACGTATTAGCAATGCTCAGTAATATCGTAAAAATCACGTATACGTGCATACTATATATATGTAAGCCTAAACTGCCGTGTTAACTGTCACCGCTCTATCTCCCTCGCTCTCTCCTATCTCTCTCTCTCTATATCTCTCTATATATATGTATACATACAAATTCCTCTCTTCGCTCACACTATTCAACTATCAAAGCATCGTAATATCGAACTAAGTATTATATAATACATAGCAGTAAGCGTTACCCGAATACCCTCACTTAACTGCCAGCCAATTGAACTTGATATGTCACTCGCTAACTGGTTCTGTTACTGTGCTTTACATAGACTTATATTGATATTAATATTGATTGATTGATTGCACCACGATACAAAAAGAAAACACCCCTTAGAACTATCAGCTAATGCTATCAAATGCTGGTCACTGTAAAACTTATTTTTATTTTAAGCGTAATCGCTGCTGTACTTACTAACTCTCGCCTCTGTCTTTATGGTATACAAATCTTTATATTTATTTACACAACTTAGGACAGGTTTAGCGGGGCTACTTGCTTAGGTTACACATAACTTCTCTACTCGGTAGACTCTCAGCTTAGTCAATGCTTTTCCTCGCTAAGCCAACAAAATTCATTATCTTCACAATTTCGACCAACCTAAACTAAAACGTTACCTCAACTTCAAATTTAAGCTCGAGTTCAACTCTATTTGGGCTAATTCATGTACACGTTCAGCTGGCGCTTTTGGGTCACATCCACACCACGCCAGCAGCTGCACCAGCACCAGTAACAGCACCACCGCAACCCCGCACCCTTGGATTAAATGCACCCTAGGCACTAATAGCACTAATTAAATAAGCGTACCCGCACCACTCACTACACTCACGCTACTCACACCACTACGCACACCACACACACCTGATGCGAACTTGCACCTTTTTGGCACTAAACTGTTTTTGCACCTCACGCATGCCTGCGCCCAACCTCCACCCCGCTCTTTCCCGCTCTTTGGCTCTTTGCAGATAGAATAATATTTTTCCCCAACGGTTTGCCAAAGCTAAAACCAAAGCCGAAAACGAAGCCGAAGCCAACGCGCAAGCAGAAACAAAAGCACGGACCTCGCATCGGCCATGCCTTTAATGGCACCGAGCTCTTGTCGAACAACATCGAGTACCAGTACCATGACGAGCCAAACAACGGGCACAGCATGGACCAGGAACGCCAGTTGGCCGAGGAGGGAGAAGAGGATCAGGCGGAAGATGATGAGGATTCGGATGATGATGACTATGATGATCGCATACGCGCTGAAATTTATTCCAACTATCCGCATTATCTGCACCCGCCCTCGTGGGGCATTAACAATCCGTTGGTGCTTGCCTCGCACAGTCCGCACACCTCCGAGGACGACGATGTGGTCGTCGAAGTGCCCACCACTACGCGACATGGCCACAAGAAGCAGCCGCTAGATGAGATGGAGCGCAGTGTTGTAGACGATGTTGTGGTGGTAGTTGATGCTGGTCCTGGGCCGCATCAGCACACGCACACCCGGCCACACACGCACACCTACTATGCCCATGGCATGGAGCCGTCGACCACCGTGGGAACTATTGGATCCATTGGATCCTCCTCGAGTTCGCCTAAGTATGCAGCAGCGTTTATGATTCGGCCTGGCCGAGCTCAAGTCGGCATCTTTAAGCCGGCAACTTTGCAAAAACTTTCACATATGACTGCCTGAATGGGGAATCGCATTACCCTGGTGTAGCACTTTCCACGTCTAGCAAGGCAAACCTTTCATTAACTCAACCAAAAACTCTTTTAACCACAGCAACGGCTGCAGCTGAAAACTTTATGCAGCAAAGCTTTTAAAATAATTGACTCACTTGGGTATACCACAATTTCCGGTTAACAGCAGTAGTCGACTAATGAATAAGCCCAACAATAACAACAACAACAATGGGCAACAAACAAATAAATATAGACCTGGCCACTTCGAGCTCTGCCCGCCTGTACCGTGGGCACTAGTTGGGCATTTAAATACTTAATCGACTCCTAATGCATGCCATCTTAATAAATATTCAAACGATGCCTTCTGCACTGAGCATAAACAGCTTTCATAGATGGTGTTTGCGAGTTAGGCCGGAGCATCCCTTGCGGCTGGCCAAAAATTAATTTATAATGCCAGCAGCTTTGTCAATTGCCGTTTGGCAGCAGCGGATGTGAAAAGTCAACCGGCTCTAGTTTGTAATGCTTTAAGCCGATTTGTGTCAGTATGAGATCATTTTCTATATGAATTAACAGCAGCTATGTCCTTTACAAAATGTCCTTATGCAGCACAACAAAGCAACAATCAGGCACTTGAGATGCACATGCACATGCACTTGCACTTGACTTCAAAGTACCATATTTGCACATATTGTATGTGCTATGCAGACCCAAGCTAATTAGCTTACTTCGCACCACACACACACGCACACGCACACCTAACAATTTCGTCTAGTTGTAATATGCACTTAAACTTAATTTCGTAATACTTGCAACTTCATTTAGCACTGGCACCAGCACGCACAAAACTGCACATCTTGGCGATTTAGTCGCCGGTAGCGATATAACCCACCGCACCCACTCCGCCGACACCATGGAAGAGAGAGGTAAGTAAATAAATAATTGACATTATTGAATAAATGAAATACACTTAAATTAAGCTTCCAATTAAATGGGCTTCAATTGATGGGGCCCTCTTTATCCTCTTTTGGTATCCAACTCTTTAATAATGCACTTGCATCTTAAAGCAAAATCTATCTATTGGGCGAATAAGTAAATTGATATAATAAATTATAATATTGCACTTCTTTGTCACATTTAGGTGTTTAACAATAAGAATTGTTTAAACTGAAAATAAAGCATTTAGAAAAAGGTTATTATAATAAAAATGTACACAATCCTTTTTAGAGGGCTAATTAAATACATTTTTGCAATCATTTTATTGTAAACATTAAATATCAGAGTTTTATATTTGTTGTGTAATATTTTTATACCCTTGCAGAGGGTATTATAATTTTGTGGTGAAATGTGTAACGCATAGAAGGAGACATCTCCGACCCCATAAAGTATATATATTCTTGATCAGTATCAACAGCTGAGTTTATATAGCCATGTCCGTCTGTCCGTCTGTCTGTTTTTATGCGAACTAGTCTCTCAGTTTTGAAGCTATCTTTATGAAACTTTGCGGAATTCCCTCTTTCTGTTGCACGCAGTTCATATGTCAAAACCAGCTGGATCGGACCACTATATCATATAGCTGCCATAGGAACGATCGGTCGAAAAGTAGGTTATTGTATGAAAAACATTTTTGTTTATAAAGTTATCTTGACTAAACTCAGTATTTATTAGTTTTACTACGCTCCCCATATATATGCAAAATCCTATTAAGATCGGACAACTATATCATATAGCTGCCATAGGAACGATCGGTCGAAAATTAAGTTTTTGTGAGGAAAATTTTTATGTTTTTCAAGATATCTTGACCAAACTCGGTACTTATTAGTTTTACTAAGCTCCCCATATATATGCAAAAGATCGGGCGACGATATCATATAGCTGCCATAAAAACGATCGGTCGAAAATTAAGTTTTTGTATGGAAAATTTTTATTTTTTTTCGGTATTTATTAGTTTTACTACGCTATTAAGATCGGACAACTATATCATATAGCTGCCATAGGAAAGATCGGTCGAAAATTAAGTTTTTGTATGGAAAATTTTTATGTGTTTCAAGATATCTTGACCAAACTCGGTATTTATTAGTTTTACTACGCTCCCCATATATATGCAAAATCCTATTAAGATCGGACAACTATATCATATAGCTGCCATAGGAACGATCGGTCGAAAATTATGCTGTTGTATGGAATTTTTTTTGTTTTTCAAGATATCTTGACCAAACTCGGCATTTATTAGTTTTACTATGCTCCCTCACATCGGGCTACTATATCATATAGCTGCCATAGGAACGATCGGTCGAAAATTAAGTTGTTGTATGGAAACCTGTTTTGTTTTTCAAGATATATTAACCATACTCGGCTTCCCTGTGCTTCTTAGATACGGGCAAAGCACTATGAGCATTTTGAAAAGGTTGGGTCTGCAAAGGTATTAAATCTTCGGCGTGCCGAAGATAGCACTTCTTTCTCGTTTGTATGTGCTTTTAGTTTATTTAGTTACATATTTCAGTATAAAATATTTTAAGCTTTTAATTTTGTAGGTACAGTCACTTAAAAAGTTTTAATTAAGTTAAAACTTTCGCAAAATGTTTACTGTAAACAACTGTTGCTATTTCTGATTAAAGTGTTTTATATTGTTGATCTCGAATGAATTTTGGATTGCATAAATTGATTTGATTATTTATTTTAAAGACACTTTCTATTGACAATTCAATTGCTTGGAGCGTTTCACCGGTTAAAATATTTATGAGTAGTACTGTGAGCAGGTTCAGGTAATAAATTAGACCATTTGGGCTTTGCGGTGCTCTCAATTTGCAGTAGAGAGAGTAAGGGTAAGGATAGGATAATGTAAAAGCACATTAGACAATTCAAGCACACATTGCACCACTAAACCACTGAGCCACTGCACCAGAGGCACTCGCTGAGAGTAACTCACAGCGCCTTGCTCCATCTAGCTATCTATCTCTTGCGCTCTGCACACTCGCATCCTTTTGTGGCACCAAGTACTAATACTGTATTAGACAAACAAGCGGCGGGCAAACAAACGAAACGGCAAATAGCGGCCAGAGAATCGGTATCCTGCATCCTGTGTTTCGCAGTTGCCCATGTCCGTTGGCAGCTTTGTGCGCCCGGCCGTTTGCCATCGCTATTGGAGTATAGTTATGGCTATCTGTTACTGCAATCACTTGCAGTTAAAGTAATGCACACACACGCACACTCGCATGCTCACACACACGCACACACGTTCATTTAGAATGCACTGAAGTGCCATAAATAAGCATTTTGTTTGTTAGCTTTGTGCCATAGCGCCAAGTACCCGTTGAACTCGTAAGCACCCTTCCCCTCCCGAATCTCTACCGAAAACTTAACTAAGTACATTATTGATATGAAGTACACCCCACTACGCCCCTTTACGGTGTACGTTGGTTTGTACTGGCATCCATTATGTGTATTATATTCAGTTGCTGCTTATTTACAGCTCTCAGCCACACACACACACACTCACACACACATACACAAAAGGACACACACGCACACCACAGTCAGCATATTGATGCGGCTTCATCTTAGCTCCCGCTTTTTCTCTCTTTCTCCCTCACACTCTCTATCTATCTTACACACACACACATACACACTTGCTGCATGCGCATTATGTTAATCGATCGATTGCCCCTCGCACTGAATGTGTGGCATTTTGATTGTTACGCAATTCGTGCACTTCGCTCGTATTTATTGCCACAAAATTCACTAGCCATTGTCATTGGTCGTCCATCATCTTCATTATCATCCACATCATTATAATCGTCATCGTCATCATCATCAGCATCGATGCTGATCCTTTTGTTTCTGCATGCGCTGCGGCATTTGTTGGTCATCTGCTGACAGGGGTTATAAATTTGAATCTGCTTTCATTGTGTTCAGTGTGACTTCATTTTCCAATGTAGCTGTGGGACACACACAAACACACACGCATACGTGCGTTGTGAATGTGCGCAAATATTAGCAAATATTTATGCATGTCACATGCAACGACTCACAAAAATATATATGCACTCGAATTATTTTCAGTTGATTCACACAAGAGCGACAGCAACAGCAATAACAAATTGTAATCACACGCTGTGGCAGCACAGCAAACAGCAATAACATCAGTTATATAATCGATACTGGTAATTATGTCAGTTAAAATTGTAACTGATTCCAGGCTAAACGCCGTCTATTTAGATGTTAATTTTGATTTTTCAGCATATCAATTTTTTGTTAATGATTATAACAAAACTATTGGTAAATCACAAAATGCTTTGCGTACAATTTTAAAATTTGTATAAGGCACAAGTGAAAACAATTAAAGCGATTTGTGAGCAATGCGCCAACAACAAATTGAGCCCACAGACACTGCTGAGTTTAGAACTTGAACAGCTAGTTGGTGTGGCGTATTGTTTGCGTGCAATAAATATTTTCATAATATTGCAAAATCCGCTTTGTTGTAGGGTCCTTCATGCCGCATGCTCCGAATGGTTGGCCTTCTATTGCCTGTGTGCTTGTGTGTGTGCACACCAGATTCAAATTAGGACATGGAAGTCGCCGATTTGAGCTATAAACTTACACACACTTGCGCATACAGCAGGCATGCACTGCACTAGGGTAATTTTGAAATTATAGCGCATTTTCAAAGTTATTTCAGTTGTTTATGAGCTTGTACAAAAGCACATGTATGTTGCTGTTGGTCTTCAATTCATATTTCTGCATAAATCAACCAATATGTGCCAATTTTTAAATAAACATATTTTCCCCCATTTTGCTTTAATCTTTAATGTGCAATAGGCTCCGTCATCTGCCAACTAAAAACGCGTGTAGATGAGCCTGACTACATTGCGTATACGCAACAATTGAACGACGCTGAGCGCGACAGATCCACTCGTCGACAACTGCTTACATGGGCGATAACACTTAACAAACAGTGCTAATCTCATTTCCAGCTGATACAGCCCCAACCCCTCCCAACAACCGCCTGGCACTCACTCCTCCACTGCTTTACAGACAGTTAGGATTGCGATTCCGATTCCGCTTCGAATTCCGCCAATTCTGTTGCTCCCCAGCAGTTTGTTGTGCAAATATTTGCTCGACAAAATAAGCGACAAACATAAATACATTTCGCAGACAGCAGGCAGCATGGCAAACGCACGGCAGTCTTCATGGCAAATCCGTGCCATTTAGCGCCCCGCAATGACCGTCTGCCTGCTGCTCCAGCTCTTACTCCTGCTCCTGCTCCTGCCCCTGCTGCTAGAGCTTAAGCGCGGAGTGTCTCGCATCCTTTGAGCATTGCCAAAGCCAGGCAGGCGCCTCAAATGAAGCGCACTTTGGCGTGCGCTGGGCGAGATAAGCAAATGCTGCAGTGGTTGCAAAGCTTCTCCATTGAATCGTTTACCATTTGCTCGCTCTAACAGCGCATGACATTTGAAAGATACACAAAGTTAGACACAAACATACACACATACACCCACACCCACACACTCACTCGCACAGCACGTCTCTTTTAGCATTTGGTTTGTGCTTCTGCTGCCCTGCTATTGACATTGATAGCGGAAACGGCAACCCTGCAATGGCAATTGATGCGTGGCGAGCCACACAATAAGCAATTGGCTTAATCGAACTGAAAATCGGCTAAGCTTTGTCCTTATGACATCAATGACACTTGCTTAAAGTTGCGCTTGCGTATTAGATCATTTTAGGCACATGAAATCCTTGTGAAATGTTGTACGAACTTATTCATGTTTAAGTTTCAAAATATTTAATTTAATCATTTAGCTAACTTTGCTTATGAGCTTCATAACTGCCGTATTATTTTGCTGATGCACTGCATATTTCTAAATACAGCAGCTTTTTATTTCAGTTTACCACAATAAAAGCTGCTGCAAGGCTTTTAAAGCACTTTAAAGCCTTAAGTCTCAATATTTGTGTGCAATATCTTAAACGCTATAACTTTGAACTATGCTCCTGCAACTTTACTCCCGTTGCTTAAGCTTTCGGCTGGTGTCACTGTTGCATAGCCTTCCATGATTTGACTTATGCCAATTCTTTGCTTACATTCAAAAGTTTCTCCATATTAACTGCACAGAAATATTATGTATAAATGTATATGATTAATTAATTAAGAAATATTTACTCACACACAAACACACTTAAATATTTTACTAGCAGCACCTTTAGAAAGCACAAATTTTCCAAACTGTCCATGTAAATGAAAAGTTTTCTTGTTTTTCTAAAAGTTTAACTTGTCATTTTGTTTAATTATTCCTATTTGAGTTTTTAGAAACGACTAAAATGTATTTGCCCCTACTATTCAATGGGCACACACATACATATATATTTATAATTTTCTCTTAAATTACACAACTAAAAAGTTACGCCAAAAAACTTAAAAAAAAAAAAATATACAAAACTGATTAAAAATTATGCAAATTGATTGGATGGCCAAATGTTGCTGAGCTCCTATCCAGTTCCGTGTAGCAGCGACTACAGTAATAATAATAATAACAACAACAGCTACTCGAATCTAAAACATCAACAACAACAACATAAGTAACAGCTACTGTACAACTACAACAACCATTCTACCATCTCTCTTCTTGCTACTTAAAATTCCAGTAAGAATATTGGGCATGGACGAGAAATTGCATCAGAGAATCTTCGATGATAATTTGGCGCTTATTGATACGCCATTAATAGAGACGGGCGGCTCGGCGAGCAGCTTTAATTATCCGGGCTCGGTGTCCAACTCGCTGCACGGCGTGCTCAGCTATCCGTTCAATATAAGCGGCTTCCATCAGCGCCACATGGCAGCGGGTGCATCGGCAGCCGCCGGAAATGAGTCGCCATTCGATATCGTTGATACGGGCTACGGCTACGCCGGCCATGGCAATGGCAATGGCAACGGAAACGGAAATGGCGGTGTTTACTATCAAAGTATGTGCACATGTATAAGCATGAACGTAATCAATTAATAAATAACAGACCACAAGCTAAGCAACCCGTTTAGAAATAAATAAAAATAACAAAAAACATATGAAAGGAAAAAAGATACAAGGTCCTAGGCACACGGCTAATGTTTGTTTTCACCCGTAATTATTTAAATAGAGTTTATCTTTTTTATATATTTTAATTTCTTATAATGAAATTTTTGACGTTTTGCGCGTGTTGTGTCGTCCCCTGTAACTAACACACCCCGTTGCAGGTAAATTTTTAAGTACCAAATTTTTACTGTTCAACTTTTAATTTATGTTGAAAACTAAAAAATAAAACAAAAACTAAAACAGGCGCGCCCCGAGCTCGTCTTGGCTTTGTGCATAATTTTTGGCATTTGCTCAACTTTTATAAATATCAAACAGTAACAACAAAAACTGCCTACATACTCCTATATATACATATTACTATATATAATTAAAAATTAATACAATATTTAAATATATTTATTTTTAGTTAAATATTTCCCTTTGTAGCTTGCCACTTGTTTTTAAAATGTTTTGGAAAATTTTCTAAAATTTTAAGAAGAAACAAAACAAAATTTGCTTTAACTTCAGTATGAAAATTTCTAATAATGAATTTTGTTTGCCATTTTGTTTATATAATAAAAGAAGGATGGAAGACGTGTACAAATTGTTATTAAATTTTAAAAAATTTATCATGTTCTTAACTAAATGAAAAACTCGAAAGTTGTTAAACTTTTAAACAAAATTCATTAAAAACCCAAATTAAAAGCGGAAAATAAATTTTTGTTACATTTAATTCAAGCACACTTTTTTAAAAAACATTCTTCGATGCACCCGTTTTTTGAAACAAGAACAATAACAGTTACAATCACAAATAATTCAACTACTAAGTACAAACAACATGCGTTACATACATTCCTTTTTTTAACTCAAACATTTTGTTCATATGCAAATTTTTTACAAATATGTTTCATATGTTGCGTGTTCAAGTTAAATAACAATAGCAACAACATCAACAAACAACAACACGTTTAACACCAACAAAACAACATGAATTAAGTATGTACTTAAGAAAAAAGCAGTTAAGCCATCCACTCATGCCATCCAATTTGGTATCCTATGAAAATCAACATAAACATAAAGAAATGCCAATATTTTCAAAATCAAAACTTTCATACAAATCAAAATACACACAAACTAAGCTCAACTCAACTTTTGGAATTTTGAAGGTTAAATTCGAAACTCGAAGCCTTAAATAAAATTTGATAATTTTGCATTGCAGCTGCTCAAATTTAATTTCAGCTTTTTGTTTCCGTTTGAAAAATTCCGTTTCATATTTTTAGTTTCGTGACCATTTAAAATAATTTATATAAATTTACAAATAAATCATTTGGCTTTGCGTGCATTGAAAGATTTTTGCCTTTATTTTTAAAATACAACAAAAAACTAACTTTTGATAGCTAGTGGCCAGTATAAACTACAGTCAGTTCTCATTTAAACCACATTTCCATTGACCTCTGTGCCCCCCGGGCACAAAAGTGTTGCCAAGTCAGAGCAAAAACACACAAACACACACACACACACACACACAGGCTGTCATCGTAATTATATCGTTGCTCCTGGCGATATCGAAATATTTTTCTTTATGAGTAGGTTGTAGTTTAAAAGGCCAAGGCAAATTTATTGAAATATTAAATATATATACGTAAAATAAAATATAGTATTTAGTTGTGTTTGATACGTCCCCGCAGCCCCGCTGCACCTTTAGCCCTGCTGCTCACTAAAAACAATAGTCAACGCTCCTCCCCTGCTCCCCGCAGTTGAAAGTAATGAGAATCGATTCCCAATTGAACGACCCCCTTTCAAGTTGTAGGCAACAAATTTGAAATATATGTATTCATATATATATAAATGCATTTGATTTTAATTTCGTTATTTATGCTTTTCGTTTTTATCATTCGATTATTTCGATTATTTATGGGTGGAACTGTGTCGGTTCATAATGTGCTTAACCACGGCAATGAATAGAAACAAAATCCAACAACAAGTTGGTTAATTAAAATGTAATCTATAACCAGCACCAGCTGTTGCCGCCCCCCAACATGAAGCGAATGAGTCCCGCTGCAGCCCTCACCCCCTCTCCGCTGTGCAGTGAACGCGCGTTGATAATCATTTCTAATTAGGATTATTTACTATCAATCCCATGACGTAATTGAGTTATGAATAAAGCCAAAGCTGTTGTGATAAGCTCGAGCTATACATTCATATCTTAATTAGTTAGTTATAAATGCAATAAATAAATATGCAACTCCCACAAAAAAAAAGGTCAAAAATAAATTAATTAGTTGCATGCCGCCATATACTGCAACATTTTTCGAGTGGCACAAAAAAAGAAATAATATTAATTGATGCATAAATTTCAAAAATTTATCGAAATTCATGCAATAGCTCGTTTCAATTAAGGCTCAGTCCAGTCCATTTGGTTCGTTCATGTTGGTGGACGCAGTCTGTGTAGCTTTTTAAACTGCTTAAGGGTTGCAAGTGCAATTGAATATTTTCAACATGGTTTGGCTTTATACTAAGGCGATAACTAATGGATCCTTTAAATCATTCTTCTTCAATCACTGCGGTTACAATTGTGGCAAACGACGTTACGCCGGCTCTGAATACACTTGTGATTTCGTTCGGCAAATGCAACTTTATCTCGACGCAAATGCAATGGTCACTTGGGCACGTCTGTTGCTGCAGGTGGTCAGGATGTTGAAGTTGACCTCTCAACGGAAATAATCAAGCAACACTTTCAGGTAAGTTCGACATGCAGTGGGCGTGGTCGGGGCTATGCATCATTTTGCTGCAGTGCAGCTGTCCCCGAGGACGGGCAAATGCAAAATACTCCGAATATGTTGCAGCACCTTTTACATTTTCCGTGCACAACAATGCAAATTCTTCTCTTTTTGTCCACCTATGCAGAGTACCTGCCACACAGCACTGGATACCTGCCGGGATGATCCAGCCTGCTCATCATCGCTGCAGCCAATGTTGATTCACTGTGAGCTGCATCGCTGCAATCGCAATGCGTGCATGACATCATTGCAGTCCTTCTACAAAGGACCGCACGAGGACTTGAATCTGGACATTGCCTTTTGTCTATGCAAGTAAGTGGCAGCAGTTGCCGTCCAGCTACAAGAGCAATAGCAACAGAAACTACAGCGGCACATTCTTGTGTGCTCTTTCTTCACCTGCTCTGCCCCTACAGGAAAGCCACCAGCAACAACAACAACAACAACAGTCCGAGCCAGCAGAACGGCAATCGGCCCGACATGTGCATGATTGCACAGGAAAAACTGCATCCCGTCTGCGCACAGAGGCCGCCCGATAACAATAATCCAGCCAGCTCCAATGGCATTTACTACCATCCGCCGCCCGCGTGCCATGTGGTTGCCGACAGCTGCAAAGAGGATCGCGAATGCAGGTGGGTCAAATATGTAATCGCAGTTCCCTATGGCAACGCGTTGTGTCCATAATTCAAATGCTCGCTAAGCGGAAGCGGAAATATGCGCATCGCATGTAAATCCGAAGCTTGTTTTAAACTGTGCGTGGGTGTGTGTGTATGTGTGTGTGATTGTGTATGAAACGTTTTTCCGCTGCAATTTAATTAAACAAACAAAATTGAGTTTAATGTGCTTATTGAATTACATGTGCTTAGCCAGGCCAAAGGCAGCCACAAGTTTAATGACATTTTTGACAAAGTCATTAAATTGACAACAGGCAAAAGCTGAAGCGGGCTCAAAGCCAGCAGGCAGCGGCTCAAGTTGTACGGCTTTTTTGCCGAAATCCGCGTCCCCGTCAAACCGGGCGTTAAATTACCATTTTGTGCGCTGTTTTTCATTAAACACGGCACCAGGAACCGCACAGTCAGGCTGCATTTTGGGCCACTTCACTGGTGCTGGCAAACTTCAAGCCAAGCCGCGAATGTGTCAAACACAAGGTTAAGTGATAAATACGATGCAGCCATGGCTTGCAGGCATCACGTGTGTGTGTGTGAGGGTGTGTGTCATGGGGGTGTGTTTGTTGTCATGTTACAGCTGAACAACCGCAGCGAACGTGGCTCTGGCTGTGGCTGTGAAAATTAATTGCCTTTTAAGTGAATCTCACTTGCTTTAGTAAACAACTAAATTGGACTAATGACGCTCATTTTGTATGCTGCGCTGCCTACATACAAGTGTGTGTGTGTTTGTGTGTAAGCGCGTAGTCAACTGCAGTCTGCGTCTCGCTATTCGAGTGCTTATGTTGACTTATTACGTATACGACGCGTTGTATTCAAGCACGTGCATTGTACATTGTTGGGCGGTGGGCGTGGTGCATTTGCTTGGCTGCATGGTCGCCGGGTGGAAAATTGTTGCATTAACTCTTAGATGGCTGCCTCAATGTGCGCCACGTGCCGTAACTCTTCAGTTGTAATGCATCAATTTACATAACCAAAAGCCGACTTAGCCGGGCGCTAAGGCTTAACAAAGTCAAGCATAAGTTATATAATCATCATAATTATTAACTGTCAGTCAGCAACAAGTGATGTCAATTATGCAATAAGTATATGTTAGAAATTACAATTCAGCAGCCCAAAGACAGCACATATCTGGATGGAAAGTTGAGATTTAATGCATGGCTGAGAGACCTTATTTGTCTATAACTTGACGGCAAACTTACAGCTGATTGAAATGATTGAAATGCCAATGGCTCAATTGTAGTCTACACTTGTCTGCAGTGTTTGGCATATTACGCATACGCCACATGGCACATAAAGCAGCTCAGATTTTACAGCCAGGTCGTAAACCTAATGCAATAAATTGTGTAGCCACTTTGTGGTAGTAGAAACAACTGCAGCACCATGAAATGCAGCAGAATACCAAGTGTAATTCCAGCATAAATGGCATGACATCAATCTCAGACTCAAGCAAGCTACAGTAACTGCAGGTAACGGGACACTTACTCACAGACAGTCAGGCTGACAAACAGACAGATAGATAGACAGACGTTAACTGCAGCTAACTGATGAGCTTGCTGCCGGCACACACATGTTAACGCTCCGTTTTTTTTCTATACCCTTACATTCACAGGCTCAAGCTGGAGTATTATGAGCAGGCCTGTGCCGTGGACAGTGTGACCAAGAAGTGTGCCGGCCGTCCCAGTGGCTGTCGCACCGCAATGATTGGCATACTGGGCACCATGCTGCGCACCACATGTGCCTGCCAGGGCACAGATCCACAGCATCTTTATCAGTGCGTCGGCTGGCGTCGCCTGCTCTGGATGAATCCCTGCGTGGGTGAGTACAACTGGACGACTAGATAATTGCTTTGGCAAAGCGAAACAAAAACTTATGCATGTTACAGTTGAGGCACAAAAGGACTTTCATATGAAGCGGCTGGCTGAGTTGGGCTTCCTAACTACAACCACAACGACAACAACTACCACGACAACCACGACGACGACGACACGCGCACCACCACCACCACCGCCACCACCACCGACCACACCAACAACTACGACCAGCTTGCAGCCGAAGCAAACGCCAAGAAAGCCGGCAACGCATATCTTTAAGGTGAGTAGCTGTCCCTATGCCTGCAGCTAATCCCGTACACGTGTTAGTGGGTCAAAGCATTAACGGAACTAATTGTGGTGCAACAACTGTGCGACTGGCGGTGGTCAATCGCACCGGGCCAGCCTGGTAGCCAATCCGATTAACAAGCTTCAACAACAGTCGCCTGTCCGTTTCACCCGTCCCCTCATTCACTTATCCTTCAATCCGTCTGTTTTCCAATCAGCACTCAATCAGTGGCTGCACAGAGTTGAAAAGCCAAGCGCACAATATAACCCCAGCGTTCGAGTATCGGAGTATCGAGTATGAATTCAAACCGACAAAGCAATCAATTTCTGCCCTTCTGCTGATGCATTTGCTGCAGTTGCTGCTGCTGCTGCTGCGGCAAAAAGATTAAATGCAGTGCACAAAAATATTTGAGTTCGCATTGAAAACCTTTAAAACATTTTCTTTTCATGTTTTATCCATACGACCAACAACAATTGTGAACAACAATCGCAAAACCACAACAAAAAAATTCAAATAAATAAAAAATTACGAATAACTGTGCAACAAAATTGAAAAAAAAAAACGACACAAAAAAATAAAAATAAATAAATAAAATAAAAATAACAACCCAATTGCACGAAACAACCCAAACAGGCAAAGGAGAAATCTGAGCCAGCATCGGTGGAACACAATTATCTCGATCCGCCCGATTCGGTGCCGTTGCACAGCGGAAACGATGCCAGCGGAAACGGCGGAAATGACGATTATCATGGCGGCAATGAACACGACAATAATCACGGCAAGGGGCATGCACATGGACACGGGCATGGCAATGGCAATGCCAACAGCAACGGCAACGGAAATGGCAAGGGCGACCACCGGCGGCAGGGCAAGAAGAATGGAAATGCCCAAAACGCTGGCCTTGGCAGGCAGGGCGTAGATTTCGATGATCCGGTAATTTTTGTTGACCAAATGGAAACAACAGAGCTGGTGCACAGCATCAGCCACACAGAGCCGACAACCACAACGACCACAACAATGGCGACCACAACAACAACGCAGCCGCCAAGTAAGTAAATGCATGTGGGCGTCCCCTTTGCGTATTGCCTACGCGTGTGCGATGGGCATGTATGGGCATGTGGAAATGTGGGCATGGCCCCCATTATACGTATTACAGTAGGCTACTGAGTGGTGATAACTGCACTCCAGCCATTGGGCCGGTATTATTGGATATGTAACCACGCTTCCGGTTAAATTCCGGTTACATTTTTCATCCGCACTTTTCACAAGTTTTTCTACCTGTCGTCCGCCCAGATTCTGCTCCACTGATTTGCTTAATGCGCTGTCATTTCAAGTTCTGTCACTTTATCACAATTAGCCTGTGTCGAGGGACCAGCAACAGCAGTTGCCACCAACCTACCACGCCCAACTGGCACAAAATGCTGCGCATTTCCGTTTTTCAAATGCTCAACATAATTGATGTGGTTAATGTGGTTCTGTGGCTAATTGAAAAAGCAGCTCAATGCTGTGCAAATTCTATATACTTGTGTATTTAAATAAAACAGTGCGTGCCATTTAAAATTCAGCATAATATGCAGGCGAATGTCGTTTGTATGTGTGTGCGTAGCAACCGGAAATGAGATTGTTTTTGGCTGATATGGCATTTATACATATGTTGCACATTTTTAAAATACTTTCTATAATTATTGAGCGTGTATTCTATATCCGATTAAATGTATTATATATCACACTAATGTATATAAATAGACTCGCGGGTATTGCCCGGCCTTGCCCGTGGAACGTTTTGTACTAAAAATTTTAGATATTACCTTTCCACTAAGTACACGCCCGTTGAAAATTTATATCTACCCATCGTGATCTCCACATCTATTTAATAATATGTTAAAAGTGCATCGAATATAAAACCAAGTGTTTGAATCCACGGTTTCCGCCCATGTTAGTCTTGCGGTAAGAATCTTGAAGCTGAAGAATAAACTTTCGTTTATTAAACCTTTGATCCGCATTTGCCATTACTTCATTGATTGATTTACTTCAAACGTACTTCCAAAACTCTACATAAAAACTTAATGAATACGTGTTTCAGCAATTTGTGAAATTCCACCCACAACAGTGGTTAATTAGCAGGTATATATATATAAATTTATATACGCTTACAAGCTTTCTAGGCTTTGATCTTCAGCTTTTGGCATTCTGTAAGCTTTTATTATTTTGCAGAGGGTATTTTAATTTCATAATCTGTGTAAAATATAGAAGGAGACATCGCTTCGAGTCCATAAAGTACATATTTTTGATCCGTATCAACAGCAGGGTTAATATAGCCATGTTCGTCTGTCCGTCTATCGTCATGAAGCTTTTCCTAGGTCTGTCTAGATTTTCAGGTAGTTCTAAAGTCGGAATCGGCTTAATCGTAGTTAACATTAGAAGCTTAATTGAGACCTTGTATAAAACCTGTTTTGTTTTTTAAGATTTATTGATCACATGAGCATGATCTTAACATAAATGAGTTTAAGAGCTTGAGCAAACTGTTATAACTAATCACGGCAATTTCTTCAGCTTCTTCATGCTCCTCACATATCTACAAGCCTGTCACACCACATGTCTTCAAGGGTATTTATTCTTCGGCTTGCCGAAAATACCCTTACTTTCTTGTTCTGGCATTCTTTACGCATTTATTTAATACTTCCGTCATATTGTCCACTTCACGAGCAAACCAGTTTACAAATTGCATTAAATATGTAAATGAGTTTGTTTGTTTGCCACACGTCTGTCGCCGAAATAATATATATACATATACACCTGTCCATATGTGTATACAAATGGATAGATACGGGCCGTGTGTATGAGCTGTAATTATTTAGACCGTTGGGACATTTGCGTGTGCATTTTGCATGAATTGTTGTTGTTTAGCCACCGAACAGCGCCGAGTTGTGCAGTTTGCATGTCTCATCTATAATTGATGTGAATCGTGCGGCGGGCGGGTCGGCATTTGATCATCAGCTTTTAACAATTTTAAAGACCCACATTAAAGTTGTCTGCAAAATAAACTGTTTTCTTAAATATTAATTTTATGCCACTTGAGCCAAAAGTGTATTAATAATTAAAAAAGTAAATAAGATTTCAGGTGCTTTGTAGTTGATTTATTCAGAAAGTTTTGTAAATGATTTTCGAACCAGGCGAATGCCCAAGGCGTTAATAAAAGTGCTTGGACCCAAGCTCGTTAGTCTTTATTGTTGAGCAACGCTTAACACTTGCCTACAGGATAGCAATTAACACACACTCTCCAGCCAAAAACAGATAGCCCCCTGTCAGCATTCGAAGCACATGCGCAAATTTGCGGCAACACACGTGTCAGCACACACCTGACATTCATGCCCACCCTTATATGAATGAGATTGACAAATGTGTAAAAGGATTGACGAATATTTGTTTAAAAATATTTACAGTCAAGAGGTTTTGTGTGCAGGGTATATGCTCGCTTCGCTGTCGACAATAGCAAATGCTTATAAAATTATCAAGTATTTTTCGATTAAGCTCTCGTTATAAAGGTATACAGTTGTGTCATCATTTGTTGTTGTATTTTATAAATGGATATCCTTTTAGGATTTTTGTAACATTGCGGTTTTTTCGTTGCAGGAAACTGTGTGGTGCAACGACCTCATCAAAGCGATCAACTCATTCGCGAGGGCAGCAGCAAGCGGGTAAGTTAAAAAAATAACAATAAAATAAAAAAATCAATCTTTTATATAAATGTGAGCTGCAACGAAACACGTTTATGTAACTGCCACAAATCGTCAACAATTTGCAGCAATTAAAATGTTTTCATTTGAATAAAATGTGTCGCAAGTTTTTTCCAGCACGACCGCGAAATTTTTTAACTTTCTATTTATGTTTTTTAACACAATGGAAGTTCAGAAAGTGTTATTAAAACGCATTTGCATAACTAAAAGTTCACAAAGCGTCGGCAAACAAAACAAGCGAAACAACTTTTTGTTGCAAGCGCAAGCGTGCAGCACAACAAGTTCAAGCTGTGTGTGTGTGAGTGTGTGCCTGGCTTACGTGTCGGCACGTGCTCAACGAAAAGATATTACCACATTTAACAACGCCATGAAAATGGCAATGGTAACGCATACAAAACAATAACATGTACAACATCGAAAAAACAACATAAAAACATTTACAAACAACAACAATAACCACAACAGGAATGGACGTTAGCCACTTTTCTTTTCACTTGGGCTTCTACGTGCTGCCAGCATCAATTTAATAGCAAGTGCAATGCAATTAGTTGCTAAGGGCAGCTGCAACGGGGCGTATGCGTTATATAATGCCTGGCTAATTACACCCATTGAGTTAGCAATGAATTTCTCCGATTTCAAAGGCGTCATCTTTACTTACAGATCTACTCGTTGGACGACGCTGAATGCAGCGAACTGTGCAGCTGCGGCGACTCGCTAACTCTCACCTGTCACGCCCTCTGCGTACCCTTTGCACCTTGCCGCACCGCTCTGGCGTTCTACAGTCACGCCTCGCCGGCTTATCAGGCGTTCCGCGGCCGTTGCCTCTGCTACTCGGGACGTTTCATCTGCATGAAGCCGCCGCTTGGGGATTACATTCTGCCAGGTTAGTTTTCTGTACCCACCCCTATTCCATTACAGTTACAATTCAGTTGATGCGTCGTCACTTCCATTTCGCTTATGTATAAATTTGTGTGTGTGTGTGTGTGTGTGCTATCTCTGTTTCCTGTTGAGCACTTTACGATTATCGCCCGCGACAGGCACTGTAGGAGCGTGGCTGACAAGTATGCTTCATTTTCCAGCCACTGCGGGAACCCTCGGCGGTAGCTCCAGTTTTGCATGAGGCTAACAATGCATTTAAGGAGCAGCTCATAGCTTGCGCTTTTCTTACGCCCAACCAGCTGCACTTTGTTGCTTCTTTGAAACGACGGACACATTGAAAGGTTGTCCAATGCTGCGATATTCTCTCTCTCTCTCTCTCTCTTTCTCCCTCCCTCCCCATCTTTCTCTTTCACTGGGGCTGCACTTACGTGCGCTTTGCATGCTCCAGTCGTGTAAATCATGTATAAAGCATTTTCTAAAGATTTATGGCATTATATATTTTTGCAGGAGGCGTCTTCTTGCTGCTGGGCTACAGCGCCGCCGATGAGGCGCTGCTGCGACCTCACACCAATCTGGGGGTGCAGGATGCGGTGCGTGCCCTGCAACAATACGTGACAACCTACATCAACAATCAGGTAAGAGAGCACAGCAGCAAAGTTCAAGCCCTTCATTCTGACTTACTCGCGTATTAATTGCGATTCGCCGTTGTTGTTCTTTCCCGCCGCAGACGCATTGTACATTGACACTGTTCAACATGACCGAGGAGAACATCATCATAGCTGCGCGGCTGCCGCATGATGGCAAGCTAAAGGACATCGAGCTGTTGCGCCGTGAAAAGGTAGGTCCAAGTTTTATTATTTTAATAAACAGCTGCTGGTGTAAGCGAGCCCTTTATACACCCAACCTTACGCAATTATCGCTTATCTGGCCGCTTGCAGGACGAATGCACCGCGATACTGAAGACCATCAGTCATCATATCAACACCGAGCACAATGAGCTACAATCCCACCGACTGTTAAGCATTTTCAAAATGTCCGAAGTCGATGTCGTCTGGCCGGAAAGCACGAGCGCGGCTCGCAGTGGCCAGACAGCAGCCAGCCGCCTGCTCTCCCTGCTGTTGCTCTCGTTGGCACTAACCGTCCGTGGCACGCTCCGTATGAGCAATGCGCCCAGCTGGCGAGCGGCCGCAACATGACACGGCAGTTGAAGCAGCAGCGTTAACTAACTGCAAGTGGTTTAATTGTAAGCTGGTGTAAGGGGTGGGGTCAAATACGATACTACACTAATATATATATATAAAACATTATATATATATAAAACATATAGAGAGTATACTACATAGGAACAAGAATGGGTGTGTATGAGATATCTAGATGTGAATGTAGCTACAGAAAAAACCTATACAAGCATTATACTCGAATATTCAGCAGCATTAAATGTGAGTTAGTATAGTGTTAAGCGTCTACATATATGATATAAACAATTAGCAAAATGTGTTGTATACTTTTAGGGGCTAGCAGATATTTTGGGCGCTTTGTTGTTAACTTGAAGATGCAGTCTTACTTTTTGATACGAACTTACACTACATGTGAGGCATTAAGTAATTGATACACCATTCGACTAACGATAAAGATTAACTTTACATACTCATAAAAGTGAAGGAAACAAACTGCTGTCTACATAATAATTATCTTAAAATAATGGGAAAATATCTACAATTTACTAAAGATAGCCATAGCCATAGCGTTTAAAGTAAATATATTTACATAATGATCATGAAAAACATCTGAAAAAAAAAACGTGTAAATAGACTTGGTAAGTGTTTAAGGTTTACATCTACATATATTCTTACATATGTATATGGAGAGCATACACGTAGCTAGTGTTTTATACGATTAAAGGCATATTAACTTACTTACATCCAACATTCATTATCATCGCCACACCACACAGCCCAGAGTTAATTGCACTTTTTTTTACAGTAAATGCCCCATTATTGTTTTATTGTTGACACAATTAAACACAAGAACAAAATGTGGCCAGCGGCAACCAGCAGTTCAAATACCCTTCTGCTGCTTCACCTTTCAAATATTTGATTTTATTTCATTCAAATGTTTTTTAAAATAATATTTAAATTTAATTCAAAATATTCATTTGCCTTATTTCTTGAGGACTCTCATTATCACATCTTTATAAATCACTTTTTCGACAATCCTCCAAACTTCATGATAGCATGCGGGATGCATCTTCTGCAAGGGTATACAAAATGAATGGCTTGAGCCATATTAAAATTTTATTATATTTTTTGAGGTGCGAACATCTACTGCACACATATTGCTTTCGCTTCTGATAATTATATTTGCCCATGTGAAATACATTTGTTAATTTATTTCAAAGTTTTTCACACAATTTCCAGCTGTTCGAGGCGCGAAGATAATTACGGTTTCATTATCAATTATAATTTGCATGGACGAGCACTTAAATTATGGCGGTTTTCCGGCATTTCTTTTTAAACATTTAATATGTTCTTTCGACCTCTAGATTTCTTACTGTAGATTGAACTGTCTTCATTTTAAAAGGTTTCACATCGTGCAGCCCCTGATTTGCTCTTCCCCAAAATGCTGTAAATAAATTGAGAATATACTACGTTTTATCAAATACTAACAGTACATATCAAAGTGAACACCTAAATATACACAAAATGCCGTATTAACTAACCCTTTGTACATAACTCTATATACATATGTACATACAAATATACACAACGATATACAAAAGTATGAAAAGCAAACTAGCATAAACTATGGATAACAGAAAAAGAAGAATAAAAATATTAAAAACAAATATTGCAATCTAACCAACAGCAGTAAAAAGATAGTAATTGTACATTGAACCAAACTTCAGTTGCACGTTAAGTAAGGTATGTAAGAACTACTAGATATTGTAAATGTAGGAATAAAGAAATGCTTAAATTCTATGAATATTAATTGAGTATTTTCGTTATGTGACGCTCACACTCCCACAAACACACAACAACACACTTTAAGCCTAAGCTTGACCATTTGATAAAGGTGTTAAGCAAACTTCACACACACCCACACACACACACGCACACACTCGCATTCACGCATGTCTGATGAGTGTTATGGTGTCAAGTGTAGAGTGTAAAGTGCGCTGAAGAAATGGTCACAATCATGAAAAAATGTCTTCCTTAATGCATATACATGACGATATGTGTTACATATTCATATATATATATATATATATATATATACATAGTACATGCTAACTTGATATACCTAAATATACTCGTATACCTATTATACTATACGTTATAACGCTATTGGTGCACCCTGGCCTACGCTTCAGTTAGTGAATACTAGTCAAAAGAAAAAGAATTATGCCAACCAAAAATGGGTAATTCATATGATTACGATTATCGATTAACTTGCAAATTATACCACTGTTGACACTATTATAGCAAAAATTAAATACCTAAAAGCAGCAAAATAAAAACGAAAAAGAATAAATACGTATATATAGTACTTTACGATACATATGAGAGAATTATGTCCTCAAAATAAATATACAAATATACTTAAATATATATACATGCATATATATACCACTTATGTACTAAATTACATACACAACTTATGTTCGAGCATTGAGCATTGCAATGCACTTGAATAGTTCCCTAGGCCACCAAAATGCAAGCGACCTTTAATGGAGAGAAACTGCTTTTAGAACAGCTTGTAGCTACTTAATATTAGACGAATTTAAAGTGAGATATTAATCCAAAAGTAAAAGCCGTTGTCAGACCGTTTTCGCATAAGTATCGTAAGTACCTGCAATCTCAATGGTAGACCAGATATTATCCAAAATCCTCTTCGATTGTATAAGGAGTTTGCCGGGAATACTTACGCAACTAATCTGCATTGCAGCATCTGATATCTGCATATATGTAAATCTAACCGCTCTAACCATTCGATTCTTGTTTATGTCCCTTTTACTTTGTCATTGTGCTCTCGGGGCGGCACAGCACGAGGCGCAGCTACAATGTAAAGTACCGTTAAAAAGACAAAAGAAAAGAAAAATGAAAAAAAAGAATAGTCAAGAAAACTGCAACTAGATCTATACTGTTAAGGGAGAAACTACATAGAAAATGTAGCAGGAACCTATGTTAAATGATAGCAAAAAAAATAAAAATAAATAAATAAATAAAAATGGGGAAAACAACATAAAATATGCATGAGGAATATCAAATAAGTTGAGGAATTCAAGTTAAGCCTAGCGACAGCAAACTAAACGGAACACAATATAGAAAATAGAGAAATATGCTATGGTATGTACTTAAGTAAGAGATAGATGTATTACTATGTCGAGGGCTTTACATAAAACTATGTAAGCAAAAGTCCATGAAGCAACCAGCAGCAAAAGCCAGGCATAAGAGGGTCGTGGCACATTTATAATGAATAATGAAAAAAAGCATTGTAAAACAACAAAACAAAGAAAAGAAAATAAATAAATAATAAAAAAGTACGGAACAGAAAAATGCTGATTATGGTTTGGGCGATGATGCACAACTGGGCGCTGTCAAAGTAAGTACCAATAAAACGGGGCGTGGTAAATGGCAAAATGTAAACGGAAAACACTTTGAAGTTCCTACAAAGCAAATGCAGATTGTAATACCCTGTAAATCTTTTTATTTATTAGTTGACTATTTTATACATTCTCCCAGCTGTGGATATCTACTCTAGTGATATTTCCACCTCAGTTTTATCAAGTTCTCAGCTCCTTTCGCCGTGCACTTCATTATTGACCCCCAAAAAGCCATATAGCGATCAAAGCTGTGACACAATTGAACCAAGCCAAACGTGAACAATGGCCGAACAATGAAGAGCACCAAAATACAACAACACAAAAAAAAAATAAAAAAGAGAACAAATGAAGCGGCATTTTGTTGAGAATAACCGCAAGAAAAGATACAACAGCAACACCAAAAGCAACAGCAGCCACAAACAACGCCAACAGAAAACACAAAATGTACACAATGCCTTCCAAAGCGCCAACTTGGCCAAGATGGAACAAAAGATGAGCCGAAGACAAAGGCAGTTGCTATGCTCAAGGCGAGCCTTAAGCTCAAGTGCCCCACTCAAGCAACACACACACACACAAGCGCACACACACGTTGGGGCCAAAGCAAAGGGAAAGGTCAATCATTGGAATGCTGCCAGTTAATTCACAAACACACAAAAGGCGCTGGCCCAGCCAGGGGAGGGGCAGAGAAGTGGGCGAAGCAGAAAAACAGTAGCCAATTCGACCCTGAATGGCCTGGCACGCCCCATTTTGCCAGCTCTGCTGGGTGGCTGAGCTTGGCATTTATACTTCCACTTAATTAGGTAATAAATGATTGAAGAAATTATGTCTAGACGTGAGAACAATTCCAATGGCACGAAAGACGCAAGCAACCAGGCCAAGCGAAACAGCTAAAAGAACTTGACAAGCAGCCAATTCATTTGGCACGTGAGAGGCTAAAGTGTTACAGATATGAAAACACACATACACACACATACGATGATATAGCTCATTGTGCGCTTCGCCAGAATTTCCGGTTCACAATGGGCATAGGCAAAGTTAAATTTAAATCGCATTTTTAGTGTGTTGTTTGGCAAATACTTAGCAAATTACTCGATTGCCAACAAATGCTGTGAAAAATATAAACAAATTTGAGGGGTGACAGCGCCAACAATCCGCGCAGCACAATATGCCACTCGCTTATGTGGGAGGCTGTGTGTGTGAGTGAATGTGTGGTTTCTGTGGTACGTGAATGTCAAATTAATGAATCGCAATGAATACGGCGAGTATTTGTATTTTATTTTTCTCGCTGGCAGTTTATTGTTGCGTCGATGTCGTTTGTATAGGCAGCGCTTATGTCACAGCCATTTGTGTGTGTGTGTGTGTGTGCGTATTGTTGCTATGCAAGTATTGAGGTTGAGGACGAGGCCGCGACGCACGCACATTTATCTGCCTGCCATGATTACGTGTTTGCCGTTTTTATCACTAAAACTGTTGCGCTTTTCTCTGCATGCGCTCACTGCGGCCTGCCTCTGCCACATGCCACATGCTACTTACCTTCACCCCCTGCCCCTACCAAACACTCGCCATCTCCAGGGCAACGGTAATGGCAACTTTTGTCTGCTCGTCCGTTTGTCTGTCTGTTTGCTTTGTTTGGTTTCTGTTGCTGTTGCTGCTGCTGCTGCTGATGCTGCTGCTGCTGCTACTGCTCAGTGCTTTGTTCTGCTTGGAATTGCCTTTTATTTTCTGTTAATTGAAGTTGCTGCCATCACATTTTTCTTCTTTTTTCTACATACACACACACACACACAATAGAAAGCGGCTTGTGTGTGTGAGTTTTTTTTTTTTTTGCTTTTATCGCCGCATCTACGTTTTGCCTGTTTTTGCAATTTTAATTAAAAACGTGTTTATAACAGCGCAAAATGCTGATGAGTGAGCAGAATAATTTATTTCAAATATACAATATAAAATGCCAGACTAATACAAATACTAATGTATGAGTGTGTGGGGGAGTTGAGGCAATTAATGGCCATATGCGTGCCAAGTATTTGATGCTGTTTATTGGCTTAACTTTTTATGGCTTAACAAAAAGAATAAATCGGCTTGCAAAATGTTATTAATTGCAAATTCAACTTGGCAGCCTGAAAGTATGCAGCACTTTTAGCTGGTTGTTGAGAATGGCAAGCGTATCCTGTCCCGCTGAGGCACATTTATCCATTAGAAATTCCTTTGCATAACACAGGGAATCTATATTGCCATGCAACCACATTGGCACTGTAAAATATGCGCTGCAGCACAAAGAATTCAATTCAATTGATATTCAAATGCGCATTGCGAACTCGCCAAGGCGTCTGCATCGGCAGAGGCAACAGCAACTGCAACGGCATTGGCATCCATTATTTGTCGATTTTACACATGGTAAGAGAAAAGCATAAAAATCAATGGGTGGTTAAGAAAAACATGCTGAGAGAGAGAAAGACATGGCTCAGCTGCTGGGCATGTTAAGGTTAGGAATCGTAGAGCCTTCATTTCATTAGATGCAACTGTTGGCCAATAAACAGTGGGCCATTGCTGATAACTTGGCTCTGGCCACGCCCAAAAGTGTGAGTTGTGCAATATTCAATTGCAACGAATATTACAACGCCATTTGCCAAGCTCAGCACCTTTGGCCAAAACACGACCCAGACATAGGCGAGTGCAACAAACAAAGCATCCTGGCAGGAGTTGAGAGGCAGACCCCAGGAGCTAGGAGCCAAGAGCCAGCCATGCATCATTTGCATAGTCCCATGGGACTGGCTGACTGCCTGAACAAAGCTAGGCAGGTCTCCGGACATATAGACAGTATAGACAGACAGCCGTTCGATGCGCTCAAGTGTAGGAAGCGAAAAAAAGCAACACAAAATAGATCGCAAACTAAGAGGTGAGGGGGGCTTGGAAACCGGTAACAGCAACAAAAAATGCTAAGGAGCCAAATACTTGAACATTTGCAAACGCGGCAAAGTAGCGAAAATTTGCAAATTGATTGCATTCCAGTGCCAAGAAGCCGATGCAGCAGCATCAGAAGGAGGCCAACACCCTGGCGAGATATATAATCTTCGAGTGCAAATTTTGAACATTCTTGCTGGCAACTTTGGGAATTTCTAAAAATATTCTCTATTGAGGAATTGCCAAACGAAAGGCCTCCTCTCTCTGTCTCATTTCAAAATTACAAGCATATTAAATTTATGTCAAACGAGCTCTTGCTGCCCACCCTGCTCGCAAAAATATTATGCAAATCTCTAGCCCAATTAAGAGAGCGAGACGCAAGACAACTTTAAGTCAATTTGGGTTGGGAGAGTCAGAGGGTTGGAGCATGTTTTGTGCATCATTTGAGAGCTCATAAAAAATGCAGGCACTTTGTCGCATTTTGTTGACCATCACGCCGGAAAACAGATCTACAGCCGGAACAGCAGACAACCAACCGGGCAAACGAGTGGAATATGAGAAAAATGAGAGACATAAGGACCCATGTACGCCAGCAAGATGACACCTTGTGTAGAAACATGAACCCATGCCTAATAAATAATTCAGTGCGCAACAAGCGGACAACAAGCCCACTTTCGGTGGCCCACACCCCATCCAACCACAACTCTGGCCAGCTCTTCTTCATACACCAACCACTGTCCAGCTCTGACAGCTATGCGTCCTGTCTGTCCTGTGCACGTCAATATTAGAAATAGATTGAAAGCTATTCAGATGTGTCGGCACAAGTGTTGCCTATGAGCATTTGAGTGTGTCCTTGATCTGTGCCGTTCTGTTAAAGTGTGTCCATCTGTCTGTACAACTGCTCGCCATATGCGGCTCATTTGTTTGCCGGCGTGAGGCCAAGATTTCCTGGTATTCAAAAGGTTTTCCGGCTGTGCCGAGCAAGTCTCTCTGCACCATTTTGGTCTCATTTGCTGTTGTTGCCTAACACAACGAATAACAAAATGAAAAACAATGCAATAATCAAGCGACACGAAAATCTATAATAGCGACAAGAAAATGCTTTTAGCCGGCCAAAATTGATGAGCAAGACGAATCTGAAGTGTTTTGTTGCGAAATCAAGTTGAAATGAATCCTCGTCTACGATTTCAATGTTAAACTTATTAATGTGCCTGCGAGAGGCCGACTGTTTGGCATTAATATACTGAATACATTATATATATATGCAGAAAGAAAATTATTTTGTTGCTTGATGCAGAAGTCGAGCAATGAGAAATGAGGCAGCAAAAAAATCATTTAGCATAATGATTAAAATAAATCATATTATAAAGCATTTTAGGCGCTAGGGAAAGCGGAGCGAGGGAGATAGAACCAGGCAGCCAGCAGCCTGTTAGACATATGCAATGCCGGGTATTACGTATACGCCACGTAGTCGGCCACGTTGAGCACAAACAAATGCAAACAGACAAACAAAAATGATTTATAAATTGGCACGACGTGCATAAAATGCTGAGCACAAAAAATTTCCACTGCATACGTAATGAGGCTAGAGAAGCAACACACATAAGCCCCAAACGCAGACCCAGACCCAGACCCAAGCCCAAACCCTAACGCTGGCTGGCTGGACGATGACTTCCGAATCATGTGAGTGTGCAAGAAGTGGCATTTAAATGCGCGCATTTATTCACTTATAAATGCTACAAATAAAAATATGCTGAGGGAATATGCTAAAGAGTCAGACCAGCGTGGCAGCGACCGAGGCAGAGCCAGATCCCGAAAAATAAGGCCAAGTATGGCCCACAAAGTGCACCAAAATTTTTCTAGAAATAAAGTGTGAGTGTGCGTGTGTGTATTGTGTGTGGCTCTGCATATACTTTAAATCTCATTTGGCCTGCAGCGGCTCAGGAATTTTGAAAAGGACAGAGTGAGAAAGAGAGTAAAGAAAAGAGTAAGGGCGAGCAAGTAGCATAAAAAAAGG